GACTGAGCCAGCCAGGCGCCCCAACAATTATTTGTAACATCATTTTCTACGGAGAGGATGGAAAGTCTTCAGCATGGCTGATCAAAATTCAGCTTCTGTTATTGCTAGTTAGAACACCTTTTCTCAGCTTTACAACTTAGTACTGAGAATGCCATAGTGAAACAGAGATCTGAAGTGCTGGAGAGCACAAAGCACACTACTTTGCACCCAGATGTGCTGGCTCTCCATAGTCCCTCTGCAGAGTTGAGCCCTACACAGAATTCCGGTAAATTCTGTTTTGTGCGATTGCCATTAAAACTAAACAGAAATGTACGTTACATTTATACTTGTTTAGTCTACGTTATCACAGTTTGATAGAGAACTTCCATTCTAAGGGTTGATGAGAACCAACTTCTCTGCTTACATTTAAAAATTGTGAAATCCACAGAACGTTAAATTTACCATCTTAACCATCTTTAAGTGTGTGGCTCAGTAATTTTAGGTACACTCACTGTCCTGCGATCGTCACCACCAGCCGGCCCCGGAATTTGTTCATCCTGCAAACTGAAACTCGAGATCCATTAAACACTAACTCTCCACTCCCTCTTCCCCCCCAGCTCCTGGCAACCAACGCTCAACTTTCTGGTTCAATGAACTCGACTGCTCTAGGTACTTCAGGTAAGTGGAATGATACAGTATTTGTCTTTTTGTCGCTGGCTTATTTCACATAGCACAACATCCTCAAGCTTCATTTACGGTGTAGCACTTGTCAACACTTCCTTTTTAAGACTGAGTAATATTCCATGGTATAGACAGACCTCATTCTGTTCGTCCATCATCTGTTGATGGACACTTGGATTGCTTCCGCCTTTTGGCCATGGTGAATAACGCTGCTATGAGCATGTGTGTACAAATATGTCTTTGAGACCCTGCCTTTAATTCCTTTGGGTATACATTCGGAAGGGGAATTGCTGGATCATGTGGTCAGTCCAGGTTTAATTTTTTGAGGAGCTGCCATACTTTCTTCCAAAGTGGCTGTGCATTTTACTTTCCTCTGCTTGTGTCTGCTAATTGAAGGAATTTTCCAGACTAGCTTCTGGCTCTGACAGTTGTACTACCTTTGGCCCCGGATCTTCATATCACGACACCGGTAGGTGTCACAGAAGGCGGGAGAGTGTGTATTCCTGGAAGCCATTCCCACAGAAGATGGCCACCAATAGTCACGGATGTGCCTGCAGACCACACACGGATTCCATGCAATCCAAACGGAGTGTACTCCCAACTGGACTTCCTTTTGTCAAATCCCTTAAATGCCTGTGACCACTTCGATGCCTTCCAACACAAGGGCAAGTGTGATGGAGGGCGGGCTAGGTAGAAAGAGACAGAAGTCTTAACCAATTGCAGTTGAAATATCTTACTTTTAAAAAATTTTATAAAAACATATGCCTGTGTGAACACAAGCATAAGGCACCTCCCAGAGCCTCGGGGAAAAAAAGGTACCTGCAATTGAGGGGCCCTGGTGTTTAAATTTTATTAGCTTCATTGTAAATTTACCTCTGCCTGGCACGTATTTGAAAATATTTAACTTGGCAACATAAACGCTATTTATGAAGAACCTTTTTGATCAGTTAAATTAAATTGAATTGAAAGAGCTAAATGCTCTCCTGTGCGCATTTACTTTAATTTTGCTTTGGAATACCAAGTTGACAAGGAAGGCCAATGTACTTGGCAACAGTTTGTCCCACTTGTAGCCAAAAGGAAACTGAAGCCCCTGGATGAGCCCCATTGCCCGGGGCCCCATCGCTTGCCAGTGGGGGGACTGTGCCCGAGGATTCCCGGACCGGGCGTGCGTATATGTGTGTTGGGAAAGAGGCGTGGCCTCCCTGCGGTCGGACGAGATCAGAAGCAGGCTGCTGACCCCCGCCCAGCACAGGACTCTTAGGAGGATCTGTTCCCTGGGCCCCCTTCCCATCTCTCCTCCTTCCCCGGCTGCTTCGCCTTCTTCCAGGTGTCACGGGCACCGATGACCACCAGGTGGCGGTGTTGCCTGCGAGGACGCTCTGTCGCCATCTGGTGGCCAAAGGTGAACACTACTCCTCTCCAATTCCAAAGGCGCAGGGACAATCTAGTCCTGGCTGGGGAATAGTAAACACCTACTGTGTGCTTCCCAGACTGACCCAGGGGCCCAGAAAGGAATATTCAGATTCTGGGGCCCAAAGAAAACATTTTCCAGGGGCGCCTGGGTGGCTCAGTTGGTTAAGCATCTGCCTTCTGTTCCGGTCACTATCCCAGGTTCCTGGGATCAAGCCCCAGATCCTGCTCCCTGCTGCTCAGCAGGGAGTCGCTTCTCCCTCTCCCTCTGCTGCTCCCCGTGCTCATGCTCTCTCTCTGTCAAATGAATAAATAAAATCTTTAAAAAAAGAAAAGAAAAGAAAAGAAAAGAAAAGAAAACATTTCCCAAAGCCTTCCTTGCCCTCCCCTAACAGAATCAATAACCTCCCATCCCAGGTCCCCCCCTAGAAGAGGATCCCCAGCCAGGATTCAGGACTGACTTACTTCATGTGTACCAAACTCACAGGGGTCTGATGTAAATACACCAATTTATTAGTTTGCAATACATATCTGTTCTTTAGAGTCTCCTTCCTGGAAAATTAAACAAACCACCAGAAGACTGCTTGGTGAGCATGGAATGAGAACAAAAGGACACAAGAAATCTGAAGTTAATTTCATCTCAAGGCATGAAAAATTCCGGAGAATTATCCCAGCCTCACTGCATAGAACCTTCTTTGGTGACAGAAGATGCCCCAGTTCCTGCCAGAGAGGCAGGTCAGGGACTGCCAAGTCCTCACATGCTGGTGAGTCTGTGGTTCCTTCCACTCATGCATCAGCTGCTGCTGGTTGATTCCTGTCGGGGGGGGGGGGGCTTTCTTTCAGTTTTGGGGCTCCTGGCTAGGCCTTCCAATTATAATAACCTACGTTCACACTCAGCTTACAGATTTTCCTTTTAAAAATCCACTTAGGGGCGCCTGGGTGGTTCAGTCGTTAAGCATCTGCCTCCGGCTCAGGTCATGGTCCCAGGGTCCTGGGATCGAGTCCCGCATCAGGCTCCCTGCTCGGCGGGAAGCCTGCTTCTCCCTCTCCCACTCCCCCTACTTGTGTTCCTGCTCTCGCTGTATCTGTCAAATAAACAAATAAAATCTTTAAAAAATAAAAAATAAAAATCCACTTAATGGCCAATGCAGCCGATGATTCAGCCCTCTTACATCCATCTGGAACAACGAAGTCTTCTTTTGATTCTGAAATCATCTCAGGATGCCGGAGTCCAGCTCCAGCCGGGGTGGGTCTCTCATAGGAAAGGACAGCGTCGGCGAATGAGGAGACACAGACACAGGATCAGGTTGCAAGCATCTCCTCCTGACAGCCTCAGAGGAACTTTATTTATATGTTAGGATATTTTTGTTTTTCCATACTTTCGTAACATGTGATTATGTTTTTGGGTTTTTTTTACAATTGATTGAGATAATCTTAGATCATTTTTTGGATCACAGACATAGCCTTCTTTCATTTTTCCTTTGTAATGATTAACATGACCTTTATTGATTTCCGCTTATTGGCTTTCGCTAAAGCTAAAAAACAGTACGCAAAGAGAAAGGTGCTAGACAGAGCGTGACCGTCTTGTTATTTTGTTCTATGGAAACTAATTCTTCGTGGAATTAGCTTCATTATGATTGCTTAGATAGGCGTAACTAAGATGAGTAGTCACTTTATCATGAAACCCCAGAAATATTCCCACAATTATAAAGATTGCCATAAACAAAATGAAAGAGAATAGCAGGAGCCGGGGCGCCTGGGTGGCTCAGCCGTTAAGCGTCTGCCTTCGGCTCAGGTCATGGTCCCAGGGTCCTGGGATCGAGCCCCGCATTGGGCTCCCTGCTTCTCCCTCTCCCACTCCCCCTGCTTGTGTTCCCTCTCTCGCTGTGTCTCTCTCTGTCAAATAAATAAAATCTTAAAAAAAAAAAAGAATAGCAGGAGCCAGCTGTGGCGTCTCCTGTTTTCAGGATGGTCCCCCGTACTTGGACCCTGTCAAACAGCATGAGTAGCTTGGCTCGTGCCATCAGAAAGTTGGGGTACCCGCGTCCAAGGGGCCCTTGCTCTGATTCTTAGCTCCTCTTGTTCTCAAATGCAACCCGTTCTTCCCATCCCCAGGACCACGTCCCTGGCCCCTGCGAAGCCTCGCAGGGGGTCTGCATCTGAGCCTGCTTCCCCCGACCCCTCGCCCCCGACCCATTCCCTACGCTAACAGTGCTTCGCGCGCACAAGTCAGGTCGTGCACTCAGCTGTAAAACCCCTCAGGGACCCAGCATCGCACTCCGAGAGCCCACCCATGCGGCACACCCAGCTTTTAGGCTCCATCTGGCCTACGTCGACCTCCGACCCCTCGCGTCCCCACTTTGCTCCCCATAGTTCTGTCCCCACATAGCACGCGCTTGATAACTAGGGAACGAGGGACGGACGCCCACTTTCCTCCCCGAGCTCCGCGGCGAGGGCGCTTCGGGGTTTTCCGTGCGTGGAGGTGGGGCGAGCACTCGAAGCGGTTTCCTCCCGCTCGCATCTGCCTCCGCGCGCCGCGGGAAGAGCCTTCCCCGAGCGGCCGGCAGGACCAGGGTCAGAGACTCGCGGAAACCCCTCGGCCGACGTCGGCCGGAAACCCACTCAGCCCCGGGATCGGCCCACACCCGAGGGCGGGACGGAAGTGTGCCTGAGCCCGCCCCCGAGCCGTCATTGGAAGGAGCCCCAGAAGGGGGCGGGGACCCGGCCCGGTTCTGCCTCCTCATTGGCTGAAATCTACGCGCTAGCGAGAGAAGGGGAGGAAGCAGGCTACCCCTGGCGCTCCGTCGGCCCTCGGGTTTTCATTGGCTGAAATCGAGAGCTGGGCGGTGCCTCACAGCCTCCGGGTCCCTCGCGGGTTGCTAAGAGCGACAAGCCCTTGCCCCGCCCCTCGAGCCACCCTCTTCTTTTTACACCCCAAATTGAGGACCCAGGCGGTCCTTCACCTCGAAGCCTGGGGGGTCTGACCTCGGGCCTTTGCTTTCCGAGGCCTCGAGTCTCGCTGAGCCCAGGGGTGTAGAGAAACTCGAGCGGCGAGGCTACCCGGAACGATTCTTTCGCGGAACCATCGCGGCGAGGCCGCTAGGAGCGCCCGCAGGGACGGACCGCGGCGGGCCGGGCCAGCCTGGCAGGGATGGCGGCGGCGGCGGCGGCCGCGGCTGACGCGGCGCCGAGGATCGCGGTCCCCGTGGGTCTGCGGCGCGAGCGGCGCATGGTGTGCGTGGAGTACCCAGGCGTGGTGCGCGACGTGCCCAAGATGCTGCGGACTCTGGGCGGCGAGGAGGGCGTTTCCCGGGTGAGGCGCGGGATGGGGGAGTGGCCGGGACCGCGGGAGCGGCCGAGTCTCGGGGCCACCCGGGGAGGTGTGGTTTCCTTGGCAACGGAACTGGGGGCGGGCTCGGGGCGGCCAGTGGGCGGGGACTTGCCGCCTGCGCGCCCGCGGGGATGCTTTTCCCTGGGAGCAGCGGGGAGAGGCTGTAGTGGAGCCCCAGGGAGGGGCGGCGTGTCCTTTCCGTCCCCTCCTCCGGGGACCCGGGGAGCCACAGCCCCCGCGACGTGCTGGGCTGCCACTGCCTCCTTCACGGAGGAGCAGACCCAGGCGCGGGAGATTAAGAATCGTTGACTAACAGGAGAGGGGGCCGGGTGTTGTGTTGTTGCGGTTGAAGGTGGTAATGGGGGGCACCTCGGTGGCTCAGTCGGCTAAGCATCTGCCTTTGGCTCAGATCATGATCCCAGCGTCCGGCTCCCTGCTCAGCGGGGCGTGTGCTTCTCTCTCCCTCCTTCTGCTGCTCCCCCTGCTTGTGCTCTCTCTCTGTCAAATAAATAAAATCTTAAAAAAAAAAAAAAATTAAAGGTGGTAATGACCATCAGCTTCTTCGGTACCAGGTGCTTTACTTACATTCTATCCTCATTAGAACCCTGCCAGGTAGCAAAGGGCATTGTCCGCATTTTACTAGGAAACCGAGGCAGTTTGTTCAAGGTCTCCGGGAAAATGAGGGAGCTGGGATGACTTCTTACCTGGTGCAAGGCTCAGGGGAGGTGATTTACATGCACCAGATCTCGAAATGTCTCTTCCGTAGGGAGTCCTCTGACTACCCTAATCAAAGTGGCCTCTAGTAGTTTGTATCTGCCTTCTCGACCTATGAATTCCCTTTTTTTAAAGATTTTATTTATTTGAGGGGCGCCTGGGTGGCTCAGTTGGTTAAGCGACTGCCTTCGGCTCGGATCATGATCCTGGAGTCCTGGGATCGAGTCCCGCATCCCGCTCCCTGCTCAGCGGGGGGCCTGCTTCTCCCTCTGACGCTCTTCCCTCTTGTGCTGTCTCTCATTCTCTCTCTCAAATAAATAAATAAACAAACAAATAAATAAATAAATAAATAAGATTTTATTTATTTGAGAGAGATCGTGCATGGGGGGAGGGCGGTTGGGGGGGGTAGAAGCAGGCTCCCTGCTGAGCAGTGGCTTGATCCCAGGACCTCCGGGATCATGACCTGAGCCAAAGGCAGATGCTTAACCAACTGAGCCACCCGGGAGCCCCGACCTGTTAATTCCAATCTGAAATTACGTTTTAATACGTTTTATTGTCTGTCTTGGCCGCTTGCTCTCAGCTTGTAAACTCCATGAGAGCAGTACCTTGTCTCTCTTGTTTACTCCTGCAGTCCTAACATCTTTAATAGTACCTTCTTCCAAAATATTTGTCAGATGCATGACTGAATCCTCACAACAACCTAGGGAGTTAGGTACCATTTTTCCCTTTTTTCAGATGAAGACTCAGGTAGGAAAAATTGGGTCAAACAAACTCTCACGTGGGGATTTGAACTCATGCATGTCTCCCCTCTGAAGTCTGAACTCTTACCTGCTGCTTCCTCATGCTTAATGAATACTGAAAACCTGTCATTAAGCACAGGATGCCATAGAGGCCCAGTTAGTCTTCTGACTTACTCTACCTCGGCATTGACGGGACCCTTGCTCTCACTAACCCCAGGGATATTTGTATCTGACTACAGTGTGAGCCTTTTGGAAGAGACTGGCCATCGATTCGTCCCATTCATGCTGCTTGTATACCTTCTCTGCCAGGCCCACAGCTGGGGTTATTCCCAGCCTCATGGTCTCATAGATCCGTGTCTCGTGAGAAGGGATTCCTGAAGGTTGGGGCTCCTTTTACCCTTCTTTCCCTCGATGTTTCCTGAGCATCTCCTAAGGGCCAGGCTGTGTGCTTAGTGTTGGGGAGCCAGCAGGCTAGAAGGCAGACGCTCTTGGCCCCATGAGCATTGTTGGGCTTTCATGTGCACAGAGCTGACACTGTGTCCCTCCCACTTCATGTGGGGCAAGCACTCGTGGGTGCGTGACTTGTAGAGTATTCACCACGAGCTAGACACCAGACAGCGTGTTGCATAGTCAACAATTCAGTGATTCATTTAATCATTGTTACAGTCCTGTGAGTAGGTACTGTTTGTTATCTCCATTTTAAGGAGAAGGAACGGAGGCTTGGAAAGGATAAGTGACGCTAGTCAGAGCCAAAGTGCTTGTTACTAATTGATTTCAGTTCCTTTGGACTTGGAAACATTTGCACGTGAGACTGAATAGCAAGACCCTTTGGGCAGGTAGTGCCTCGGGTAGGAAGGTCAAGACAAGCCACTCCACCCTGCCAGCCTCGGTTCCTCTGTGGAAGACTCGGGTGAGAAGACTGCCACGAACGTCGCCAGGGGAGGCGCATGAGTCCCCGCGCTGAACCAGCACTTGGGTGGGGGTGCTCTACTTAGCTGACGGTTATCGTCTAGCTTTCCAGCCTCTTGGAAGGAAGAGACTATCCTCATTTTCCCTACTAGATAAAAACTAAGATACTTGGGTTGGAAAAATGGGTCTTTTGAGAATTAAAAGCTCAGAATGAACCAGGAGCCCCCTGGCCTCCCTTTGTCAGCTGGGTCACTCTCAGGCTTTTGTGGAGTGAGAGAGAGCTCTCTGCCAGCCGCTTAGCTGCCCACTGGTCACAGTTTTCCTTGGCCTCGCCACAGATCTACGCAGACCCCACCAAGAGGCTGGAGCTGTATTTCCGGCCCAAGGACCCTTACTGCCACCCAGTGTGCGCCAACCGCTTCAGTACCAGCAGCCTGCTGCTCCGCATCAGGAGGAAGACCAGGCGGCAGAGGGAGGTGCCGGGGCCTGAGCCCCACCCCAAGGTCACATTTGACATAGAGATACTTGGCACCATCTCCACCATTTACAAATTTCAAGGTAACTGCCACTTACTGCGTTGGGTTGTTTTAGGACCTGCATCCACGTTCCTACAGGTGCTCTGTGGGTCATCCACACAGTGAAGGGGGCCAGTCTATGCCCAGGAATGAGGGCAGGGGATGAGCAGAGCGGGACAGTGCAGGCCCCCTCCAAGAGGCACGCGTTCCTCCCTCCATGCAACAGCTCTCAATGGACTGGGGGCCCATTGCTGCTCCATCTCCTGCATTCTTACGAAAAGCTGACGTTCTATGAATAGTCCCCTAATTTTTAAGGCCATCATGTAGGGCCAAATAAAACTGGTTAGCAGGTCTCCAATTTTTGACCCTCAGTGTTTTGGAAACTTCTCTGAGTCTTGACTGATGCTAATCTTGCCTTTTCTCTGAAGCCTTCCCAGATCACCTCAGCCCCTTGGGACCTCATGTTCCCTTGAACTCTTAGCCAACTGGGTGTCTTCCCTGGGGTCCTCAATCAGTTTGCTGCCCATACGGAACCCCAGTGAGGGGTGGTAAGGGGTGTGGTGGGGTGGGTAAGAAAGAAAGAGCCAGTTTGTTTGGGTAGGTGCTCAGCTTCCCTCAGCCTCGGGCACTTCTCCATCCAGTGTGGGACCCTGGGTTCCTCAGGCCCTCGCGAAGGGTTGGGGTCCGGGGGATGCCGTTAAAGGGCCAGTTCACGCATGCAGGAGGCACTTGGTAGATTACTAGTGAGCCTTAGGAATGCAGTGTCAGCTGCAGTTCTAGGAGAATCTGCAGAGAGCACAGATGGAGAAGAGGGGCTGGAAAGTGGAACGGGATGAAACCCCTGAGCTGGGCATTTTGAACGTCAGTCGTTCTGGTGGCATGCGGTGCTCCCCAAAGAGGACAGTCCTTCCTGGTGCGAGGTCTTCCCGTGATGCATTTTCCATCTGTCTGCTTGAGCCGGCATCCTGCCGCTCACCTTCCGTCCCCGCCAGCAGCGCCGGTCCTGGGGGCTTGTCTGATGTGCAGCATCCCAGAGCCTTTAGCTAGGTCCCAGGTGAGTCGTGCACTCTACGTTTCAAGAAGCGCTGACTAGACTGGACCCTCAGGCACCACATCGCCCCCTCCTCCCCCAGCCCCTCCGGGAGACTCCCAAGTGCGCAGAGTCGCGTGCACAGAAGTATTTCCAAGGGTGCTGTTTCAGCTCCCACCCCCATGGCCCGCTGCACGGCTCCCTTGGCACCTCCAAGAATGTGTGGGTGTCGATGCACAGCAGTCACCAGTTCCTGGGAGGGTGTAATGGGGTGTCTGCCATCTGGCCGCCTCTTTCCAGGAATGTCCGACTTCCAGTACTTGGCCGTGCACACGGAGGCTGGCGGCAGGCACATGTCCATGTATGACAAAGTGCTCATGCTCAAGCCTGAGAAGGAGAGTTTTTTCCACCAAGAGCTGCCGCTCTACATCCCCCCACCCATCTTCTCTCGGCTGGACACCCCAGTGGACTATTTCTATCGACCAGAGACGCAGCACCGGTAAGCCCCTCCACCCCCCGGCCCCTGCAGCATCAGGGTTCAGAGCAAGGGCCCTGTGGTCAGAGGGCCTCGGTCCCAGGCTCAACTCCGCCACTCCTGAGTCAGGCAGTTAGTACTGCTGGCTTTGCAAGCCCGTGGCTCCTGTGCACCCAGAAGCAGCGTACCCGGTGACATAGACCTTGCTTAAAGCTCCCACTCTACAGAGAGGGAATCAGGATGTCACCTTAAGACTCGGAAGACTCATGCCCAAACGTATGTACCTTGAAATACTTAGAACAGTGAGTGCCTGGCAGAGCTTGATAGAATAAACAAGTCCATTAATTGGGATGTGGCTGATGAATTTATGGTCCTTCTAGGCCAGGGAACACCATGCAGCATGTGAGAGCAGGCTCGTGGATTGATGTGGCACTTGCCCAGGGTACCTTCCTCTATGAAAAAAGCAGGTGTAGGAGCACATTCTGGGATATAAAAATAAACTGTGGCATGACAATAGAAACCTAGAAAAATCTGGAAGATGGGGCCCAGAGCAGTTATCTGTAGAGGGGTGGGAGGATGAGAATGTTCTCTTCCCTCACTACATGTTGTCATCAACAAGTGCTGACCACGGGTTGTGGCCCTGGGGCACTCCTTGGAGCCCTGCATCAGCAGAGAACAGATGAGGTCCACGCGGGGCTGGGTGGGGAGCTGGATGGAGCATGAGTGGACCAGGAGGGAGCAATGGACCCGTGGCCAGATGCATGTCTTAGAGGAGATCAAAGGGATGTGGGTCGTAAGGGGCAGTGAGTTGGGTGAGGGCTCAGGGCCTGTCCCTCAGAAGGGCTGGGACATTTGAAACAGACCTGAGTGATGACAGAGCCAGGCACATGAAAATCCAGGGAGAACATTCTAGACCAGGGGACTGGCGCCTGCGAAGGAGTGGTTGAAGAGGGAGCCTGGGAGAGCGATAGGTCTCACAGACCATGGTGAGGGGCTTCGATTTGATCCTAAGGAGAAGGTGTATTGTTCTCTTCCCTTAAAAAAATACGGAGAGTTCCAAACACAGCCCAAAGTAGCGCGAGCGCTCCAGCGGAGGCCCAGCTGTGGCACCAGCTTCTGCGATTGGCACCTCTCCCCCGCTTGCCACACCTGCCCAGCCTCAGCTTCCCAGCGCATCGTCGAGAAAGCATGCCCCGTGCCCATCCACGGGGAAGGACTTGTGTTCTCACACGAACCTGCCGCACTCTTGCCAGGACGAGCAAGAGATCCGGCTTCCCCTGCGCCTTCCGGTGCCAGTCCTCCCTCAGTTTCCCCAGCCAGAAGCAGGCCGCCTGGCAGCTTCCATTCGTGGTGCTCAGGCCTATTGAATCCGCGGCCCCCTCCGCAGCCCTTTCCGACCACAGGAGCGAGTGGTGGTTCCAGGGGCAGAGTATGACAGAACTGTGTAAGTGGATAAGGTTGGGCCGCACCTCTCCTGGCCGAAGCCCTCCACGTGGGGTGACGGGTTTTTCTGCGTGTGTGATACTCCGCACAGGAGTTTTAGGTGGGAGAGAGACGATTTGCATATTTCTGAAATGCTTTGATTATTTCCCCTCAGAGTCAGAAACAGACACAAAAATGCATAAGGGAAACTAGACCCCTCTGTGCTGCTGAGCCCTGGTACGGGCTGGAGCAGCTGAGTCACCCCTCTGTCCTGTGGGACCTGTAGGCAGCTGCTCCCCGGCCTCTGGGAGAGGGACAAGGGAGAAAGGCTGGCTGCCCTTGGACCACACGCCCTTTTTTCCTCCCCATGTGGTTTATCGATGTTCCGGCAAATGGAAAGAACCTGCCTTTTTTCCCAGGGCTACTATCAATTTTTCTGCTCTGCTGGCCTTCCTGGGTACACCAGGGCTGGGCGGGGGGTCGGGCCGCAGCCTTGCTGGCCCCTCCATGGGTCCAGGGAAGTTGAGCCTCCTGCAAGACCGTGGGCAGAGGAGAGGCTGGGAGGCTGGCCTGACAGGGGTACCTCCTCCTTGAGGAAGTTAGTGGGGGAGTCGGCGAGGCGGCCAAGGAGCCCTTTCCCTGTGGTGACAGGCCCTGGCAGGCCCACCCCTTGCTGCTGCTCTGGCAGTGGGCTTCCTGGGGTGGAGTGAGCCACCGGGGCCTTCCCTCTGGGGGCTCTTCAGGGTCTTGGGCATGTCTTTGAAGACAGGGTAATATTACACCTGTTCGGGGTGGTTTCTGATGGGGTCACTTTACAAAAAAGGCACAAACTTGCTCTCGTCTTTGTAATTTTGTTTTCCAGCGTGTCCTTTATAAATATGCAGATGGTTTCTACTCTTGTAGAAAATTAAGGTAGAATGGAAACAAATTTAAAAGGTAGTAATCACCTGGGTGCACTTGAGTGGCTCATTTGGTTAAGCGTCTGACTCTTGATTTCGGCTCAGGTCATGATCTCAGGGTCATGAGATCGAGCCCTGCTTTGGGTTCAAGATGGGAGTGGAGCCTGCTTAAGATTCTCCCTCTCCCACTCCTTCTGCCCCTCCCCCCTCAAAAAAATAGAATGAAATAAATAAAAGGTAATAATCACCTGAATGAAAATGTGTGATGTCCAGAACATACTTTAAAATGTATTTCAAGGGGTGCCTGGGTGGCTCAGTTGGTTGAGCATCTATCTGACTCTTGGTTTCCGCTCAGGTCATGATCTCAGGGTTGTGAGATCAAGCCCCCTGTCAGGCTCCTCACTAGCACGGAGTCTGCTTAAGACTCTCTCCCTCTCCCTCTGCCCCCCCCCCCACTGAAATAAATCTTTTTAAAAATCCTTTTAAAAAAGGTGAAAAAACGTATTTCAAAATAATTTCGTGCGTTTGGAGTGGGGTACAGATGAAACAGAATTGGCCGTGTGGTGATAATTATTGACGCTCATGATGGGTTGTGGGGCTTCTTGAGACTGTCCTCCCTGCTTTAGTATAAGCTTGACATTTCTGGACATTTCTGACATCCAACTTTTTTTTTAAAGATTTGTTTATCTACTTATGCGAGAGAGAGAGCACGAGCTGCGGGAGGGGCAGAGGGAGAAGCAGACCCCCCACTGGGAGGAGAGCCCGATGGGGGGCTTGATTCTAGGACCCTGAGATCATGACCTGAGCCCAGGGCAGACACTCAGCCAACTGAGCCCCCAGGCGCCCTGACATCCCACCATTAAAATGAGGTAACCACCTGAGCATCTTGGCCTGGCGCCGGCAGAGGAGGCCTAAGCGTAGCCGGCGCGAGAACCCCCACTTCTGACCCCTGTGCTGCAGGATAGTGCTGTTCAGTAATGTCCGTCTTCTCTTCACCCAGCTGTTGTCCAGATGCTTCTGGGCCAAACATGCTCTGTCAGAGGGTGGCAGGATGGGGTTCACAGGGCCCAGAGTCCCAGCTCTGTCCGTGTAAGCTCTGCCTCTAGGTAGGTTTCTAGCTGCTGTCGGTTACTTCGTAGGAAATTGGTTCCTTCCTCGTAAGGTTGTCTTGAGGCTTAAGGCAGTGAGTCGTAAGCATCAGTTAGGGTGGGTGTTGCCTGATAACTGACCGAGCGTGTCCTGTGTCCCTGCGCCTCACCTCCCTCCCCACCCCTGCCTGACGGTGTTCCGTTCCTCACGGGCTGTCCGGTGCCCTGGGTGATGCGGTGCGGTTGTGAGACCAGCAGCTGCACCGCTTTTGGCTTCCCGGCTTGCGAGCTCCGGGCCCCAGGGCCTCTCTGAGCTGTCGGTAGCAGTCGCTGCCTCTGCCCCTGCCCGGCCGTCAGCCGGAGAACACAGGTGCTAAGGTTCTCCTCCAACCCGTCACCCGGCGTCTGGGGAAAGGCACCCACTCGTGGGCTCGCTGCCTGGTCCGGGAGGCCTGTGCCTGGGGTCCTCCTGGAGGTGCTCCATCCCACCCCAGCTCTCTCTGCTGCAGGGAAGGCTACAACAACCCCCCCGTCTCAGGCGAGAACCTGATTGGCCTGAGCAGGGCCCGGCGCCCCCACAATGCCATCTTTGTCAACTTTGAGGATGATGAGGTGCCCACGCAGCCGCTGGAGGCTGCAGTCCAGACGTGGAGGAGGATCTCTACCAACCCCCTGGACCGGAAGGTGGAGGAGGAGCTGAGGAAGGTGAGCCCGAGCCCGGGGCCCACCTCTGCACTGACCACCTCCCGTTTACCCAGCGGGGCCCTTCCCTCTTTCTGCAAATGGCTGTACTGACTTTTTAAAACTGGCTCATCGGCACATGGGAATGTTTCGTCTCCAGATGTCATATCTCAAAGCCACGCCAGTATAAGCCCTACATTCCCAAGGTTGAAAATACTTCTTAGAATTTTCTTGAGAGATCCCTTAGGGATGGGAAGCAGTTGGTGCATTGTCTGCTCGTGACTTCACAGTGGAGCTCTGGGTTTCAGGAAACTTTCATTTATCCATCATTGGTGGCAAGAAACCAGATGGAGTACCTACCGTATGCCCCCTGATGCTTTATCCTGTTAGTGCTGGAGGGAACAGAGCGGCCTTCTGCCTGCGCCCCGGCTGGCAGGTCCTGGGAGGAGCCAGCGGGGGCCTCTGTTGCTCATGCCTGCACAGGCATGGACGGCAGGTTCTCAGCGAGGCCACATTGCTACTCACGGAGGCTCGTGAGTGAGCTCGTGAGCTTCAGCCCTTGCTGAAGCCGACTGTTCCCTTGGGCGGGGGGTGGTTATTTCTTAAAGAGACTGTGTGGACACCTGACCAGTTTCCAGCAGTCACTGGTCACTGGAGGGGAGCCATGGGGGACCACTATCCGAGGGCCCTGCTAGTCCTCCAGACACAGCCCAGTCCCTGGCCTGGCCCCCCGGCACCCCCCACGCTCCAGCCACACTGGCCTCCTGCAGTCCTCCCTTGGGCCAGGCCATCCCCTTCAGCCTTCACGACATCCCAACTGAGACTCCACCCTCTAGGTTGGGGCTCAGGGTCCCAGAACTCTGGCATGTCCCCCTCTTGGCCCTGCTCTGGCTCCTTTGGTCGTCTGCCTCCCCCACTGTCCTGTGAGCTGCATGAGGGCAGAGACCGTGTCCTTTGTGGTCATTTCAGGATGCCCAGGCCCTGCAGCCACACCTGACCCAGGCTGGGTGTGCGGTCCCCGCTTCTTGCGGTCCCCGCTTCAGAAGGCAGGGACCAGTGAGTGGGTGCAGCAGTTCCTAGAGGCTGCTCCTTGCCCTGCTCTCCACCAACTCCTCTCCCGAAGGGTCTGCTGGGGACCAGACCATGCTGGAGAGTCTGAGCCAGGCAGGCGGGAAGCTGCCGGTGCTCATTTCAGTCTCTGCCTTGACTCCCCAGCTGTTTGAAATCCGTCCCATCTGGTCACGAAACGCTGTCAAGGCCAACATCAGCGTCCACCCTGACAAACTCAAGGTTTTGCTGCCCTTCGTGGCCTATTACATGGTGAGTGCCCAGCCTCTTGCCCTGGTTCCCACCAGGGGCGCCCTGATTGCTAATCTGACCTCTCAGAGCTACAGCAACAGCAGGTGGCCCTGTCCCAGCACCCCCCCTTCCCCGCCCCAGGGGGCTTATTACAGCCCCAGGAAGGCCCTCCACGGCCTCCTAGTAACGCTAGCCATACTGGAATGATTTTAGGATTAGAGAGTAATTATGTAACTTTTAAATAAAGGGATTATACTTTTTTTTTTAAAGATTTTATTTATTTATTTGACAGAGAGAGACACAGCGAGAGAGGGAACACAAGCAGGGGGAGTGGGAGAGCGAGAAGCAGGCTTCTGCTGAGCAGGGAGCCCGATGTGGGGCTCGATCCCAGGACCCTGGGATCATGACCTGAGCCGAGGGCAGACGCTTAAGGCAGACGCTTAACGACTGAGCCACCCAGGCGCCCCAGAGATTATACATTTTTAAATGATCTCATATTAAGAATGCTCTAAGGAGGGCGCCTGGGTGGCTCAGTTGGTTGAGCGACTGCCTTCGGCTCAGGTCATGATCCTGGAGTCCCAGGATCGAGTCCCGCATCGGGCTCCCTGCTCAGCGGGGAGCCTGCCTCTCCCTCTGACCCTCCCCCCTCTCATGCTCTCTCTATCTCATTCTCTCTCTCAAATAAATAAATAAAATTAAAAAAAAAAAAAGAATGCTCTAAGGACCAGGTGCTGGGGCTAAGTGCTGTGTACCTATTATATCCTTTTTCCCCTCCCTGGGGGGTGGCAGCAGGATTCTCTTCTTACCTCTGAGGCAGAGCTGGGGCTCAGAGAGGTGACTTGATGTGCCAAGGTCCTCTAGCCAGTACATGACAGAGCCACTTGGGACCCCAGCCTGTTAGGCTGCAGAACCCAGGCCCCCTAACCACAGGGCCACCAGCCTTGGCTCATTCTACCTGGGTTGAGTGGGGGTGGGGGTAGGAGAGGCGGATCCACCTTGGGCTCAGTCCAGAAGGGCCTGGGGATGAGGTGTCATTACTGAGGTTCCCAAAGGCGCTGGAGGAAGGCATCCTACCTGCCAGGGGTCCCCGCATGGAGCCCTGGGGAGGCAAGCCTGAGATGTGACCATGATGGTGATGACAGGTGGGGCACAAGGTGGGGGCACAAGGAAGGCTCATCCCTCCTGTGCTCGGACCCCAGACTTCCAAGAGCCGCTGTCTTTTAGCATTGGCTTTCTAGACATAAGGACCTCAGGAGTACCACCCGTTGGGATGGCGGAAACGCTCCCTGGGCACCTCCTGTGTGCCAGGCGGCGTGGTAAAGGCTCCTGGGGCATCACCTCTTGTAATCCTCACAGAAGCGATGGGAAATGGGGCTCCTCTCACCTCCAGCAGGAAGACCAAGGCTCAGAAAGGCCAAGTGACCTGCCCAAGAACCGCACACAGCAGAGCCGGGGTGGGGTTCCAGAGCTGTGTCCCCAACTCTTGAGGTGTTCAGCTGCCCCGTCCCGGCCCTGCATCCCTGAGGGAGGCCCCACTTCACACTCCTGCCTTTTGTCTCCAGATAACAGGGCCCTGGAGAAGCCTGTGGATCCGATATGGGTACGATCCCCGAAAAAACCCAGACGCCAAGATTTATCAAGTCCTTGATTTCCGAATTCGTTGTGGAATGAAATACGGTAAAAATTACTAAAACCTTGTCTTTCTGTCTTTCTCTCTCTTAATTGCTTTCTGCTGCTAGCATTCTCTTTTGAAATAAGAATGTATCCATGTGGTGAAGACGAAAAAGCCTTTGCTCCTTGGCGAGGTCTTTGCAGAATAGCGTAGAAATGAGGGTCCCAGCTTGAGTCCTGGCTCCACCGTTGGCCCTCAAGCTACTGAACCCGTTCTTCATCCACTCAGTTATTCCACTTACTCCGGCTCCTGCGGTGGGGGCCAGGCACCCCGTACGCGTCCAGTCCCTGGGCCCGTGGTGAGCCACTCCACGCAGTCCTGTGTGGCTGGCGCTGGAATGGTGCCTGCTGACAACTGGTGCGGGGGGGCCTGGCGTCCCTTTCTCAGGAGCCTGCCCCAGGGAACCCTGGTGCGCCGATAGCGCAAAGCCAGTTCTGTCTGCGAGAAGGGGCTCTGCACCCCCTTGCGCCCGACACGCCCTTCCTCGCCTGCAGGTTACGCCCCGAGTGACATGCCCGTCAAGGCCAAGCGCAGCACCTACAACTACAGCCTTCCCATCACCGTCAAAAAGATGCGTAAGTGCCTCTGCTTGCCCTGTGGGATCGGGACTGATTTGCCCGCACAGAGACGCGAGGAAGGTGGGCATCTGGACTGTGAGGTGCGGTGGGGCTTCCCAAGGGGCCGCTCCAGGGCGCTGCCGGCCAGTGCGCCAGGGAGGGGTGGGGAGAAACATCCCCCTGTATTCCAAAGTATTGCTGCTGTCCCCCCACAGCCAGCCAGCCTGTCACCATGCATGACCTGAAGCAGGGCCTGGGCCCGTCGGGGATGGCCGGCACGCGGAAATCGACCTCCAACAAGTACAAGCTCAAGGTGGGTGCCCCCTGAGCCCCAGAGGAGAGCAGTCGCCCACCCGGTTGAGGGTGCAGTGGACGGGGGAGAGGAGGCAACCCCCACGGGCAGGCTGGGCACACACTCGCTCCCAGAGTCCCTGGGCCACCGGGAAGGGCTTTGACGGGCAGCTCTGCCCACCGGTGCCTTCCAGGACGGCCTTGGGAAGCGCGGTGAGAGCTCGGTGTGGGCAGTGGGCACTGAGGACCATCTGGGCATGTCTCCCAGAGGGACAGGTGACACCAGCAGCTGTGCGTGGCTGCCTTTTGTGAGCCCGTGGCCGCTGCCCGGATGGGCCGGCTGGGGTGCGCAGGAGTGTGCGGAGCCACGGCAGACCGCGGGCCCCCCGCTGTGGGCGGGGCGGGGTGCTGGCAGCCAAGTCCCAGGACCCCTCACAGGCTTGCGGGGTCCTTGGCACACCCGAAGGTGGGAGTCTATGGGCCTTTCACCCGCTTGGGCTGTCTGGTCCCCCCCATCCCCCTGGCTCGGCTGCCTCATGCAGGGGGGCACAGAGGGGCACGGAGACAGGCACCATCGGTGTCCTCTTAGGAGGGCCGCCACGTCTTCGCCTCAGTGGCCGTCCTCCCTCCTCAAGCACTCTCACTCAGGCCACCATCCCTACCTCTAGAAAACAGACACCCGGTAAGCCCTGCTCCTCAGCAGGGGGCGTCTGGAAGCCACAGAACAGGGCCAGTTGATAGGAGGTGGCGAGGAACGAGGGCAGACTGCAGAAGGCTCGCAAAGCTGGCGTGACAGCCCATGCCATAACACGTGGCTGGCCATGTGGCTCGTGGTCCTAGAGTCAGGGGCGTCGGAGCCTCTGCACGCCTCCTCCTGGCCCCTGGCGTGTCTGCACCACCTGAATCCGGGGGACGGTGGGGAGCCAGGCCCGCCAGGTGCGGACCGGCCGGGGAGAGCTCCGAGCTCCAACGCGCTGTCCTGTCCTGCTGTCCTCTGCCCAGGACTCGGTCTACGTCTTCCGGGAGGGGGCCTTGCCACCCTATCGACAGATGTTCTACCAGTTATGTGACTTGAACGTGGAAGAGTACGTATGAGGGACCCTGAGGCGTCAGGGGGTGGGGGATGGTGGGGCTCTGGACCAAGGCCTTCCCTGCTGCTCTTCCGCTGGCTCTCGGCCTCGGTCGGAAGCCCTGGCTTGGGCGGCGGGGGCTGGGGGCACCTCCGTCTGCCTGCGGGAGCGGTTTCCGGGGTCTGCCTGGGCTGTACCCCCCGATCCGCCACACTGGGCAGGGCAGAGACCTGCGGCCCCCTCCTCCGTCACGCACATGGAGGCTCGGGACACGGTTCCTGAGTCTCCTGGCCGACACTGGAGTCCTAGCGACCTCCCAGCCTCTCAGCCAGTTGTTCTTAGTAATGTTTAGAAAGGGGGTGGGGGGCGCTGGGATGGGGAGAGACGGGAGCTCGTTAGACGCAGCTCGAGTCAGGTGAGAACCCGGGGTTTTCGCAGGAAAGTTCGCGTGGCCATCCCCCACCGTCTGTGCAGCTTGGAGGCAGGGGCCACACCAGTCAGGACCCCCGCCGCGAGGGGCCGGCTTCCATGGGTGTTCTTCAGTGCTGCGCTTGGCCCTCTGCATGGCTGTCCCAGTGTTACTGTTCCCAGCACTGCCCCACTTCTGCCAGACCCTCACGGCACCTGTCGGCAGAAGCCCATCCTGAAACGCTGTGTCCCGTCCCCCAGGTTGCAGAGGATCATTCACCGCAACGACGGGGCTGAGAACTGCTGCACGGAGCGAGATGGTTGGTGCCTCCCCAAGACCAGTGATGACCTGAGGGACATGATGTCCCTCATGATCCGGCAGACCATCCGCTCCAAGAGGCCTGGTGAGAGCGCTCAGGGTGAAGGGGGGCCCTGCTCTGGGACAGAGCAAGTATCCCTAAAGGCCCTGCTCCCCAAGAAATTACACCCAAGTGGAATCATCCCGCCGGGAGCCAGATCTCCCAGGCTGCCTGCCTCTCCCTGGGTGGAGACAGGCCCGGAGGGCAGGGCTGGAGCAGGGCTGGAGCAGGGCCGGCACAGGGCCGGAGCAGGGCCGGAGCAGGGCTGGTGCAGGGCTGGAGCAGGGCTGGCGCCGCCATTGGAACCACCGCTTTGTGCCCTGACACCCCCCTACCTCTTCCAGCCATTTGTGGGCGCATCCAGCCTGTCTTCTTGCACTGGGAGAGCTGGGGCAGCAGGTGTGGGGGGCCTGTCACCCCCCCACGGGCTGCCCCTTTCTCCGGACCAGGCAGCCCTGGCCGCTGGCCGGCGGTAGGGGGACGTGAGGGAAAGGGAGCACTCGCTGGTCTGCAGGTCTGATGGGGCGGGGGGCGTGAGCGAGAGGGCCCCTCTCACGGCTTCCTCCCGGACCCCGCCGGACTCCACGGAGCTGACGGGAGTAGGGGCTCTCAGCCTCATTTGGGACCCGGCTCCATCTGAGAATCGGCTTGAGGCTCTGGACCCTCTCCCCAGAAAAAAGCACTCACACAGCACGTCCTGCACACTGTCGGGGCCCCTTGGACCCGTGAAGCCACCCAGCCTCCTATGGGGAAGTGGCTTGCAAAGCTGTTGGCTTCCGTATTCCCCTGAAGTGCTTGTTACGCTGTAGAGTGCCAGGCCCCCCGGCCCTCTGTACTTCCCCAGGCAGCTTCTCTGGGGCCTGAGCCCAGACACCCGTCGTAAACGGGCCTCCAGCAGCCTGATTGCTGGTCTGGACGCTGGGCTGTCCGGCACCTCTGTCAGGCTGAGGCCAGCAGTAGCTGGTCTGGGGGCCACCCAGGAGGCCTGTGCTCCACACATGGCCTTGTTTCCTGGCCCCAGCTCTCTTCTCCAGCCCAGCCAAGGCCGACAGGGGGAAAGAGCCCCTGACGTACGAGTCTGGGGAAGATGAGGAGGACGAGGAAGAGGAGGAGGAGGACTTCAAGCCATCCGATGGCAGCGACAATGAGATGGAGACAGAGATTCTGGACTACGTGTGACACAGCCCTGCACCCGAGGCTGGGCATCCTTGATCATGCATGACTGGTGATGGAACCGGGGCAAGCCGTGTCTCCCCATTGCTGCCCATGGTAACCAGAGCGGCCCGAGGAGGCCCCCCCACCCCGCCACCGAGGAAAGCTGGGGTCCCAGCACTGGGTTCAGCTGACCGTGGTCCTGCCCGTCTGCCCGTGACACCTGCAGCATGGGACTGCCCTCCGGCCCTGGGTGCTTGGGGACATCCCCAGAGGGTATGACCTGGCTTTTCGCAGCTGTGAGCCAGCCCAGTGTCCAGCAGGCTGAGCTGGTGCCCAGCACCTCTCTCTGGCTGAGGACAGCAGAAGCTGGAGGTGGAGAGGATGTGGCCAGGGGCAGGGTGGTCTCGCCTTGGAGCTGATGACTGGTGACCAGCGAGGAAGCTGGTCCGTGGTCACAGATGGGCGAAGACTGTCCTTGGGTTTGGATCCCATCCATTTGGGACTCAGCTGGAGTTGTTCTTACCAAATACACTTTCCCAAGGAGAAAGTGGTGTCTCACTGCGGGGGTCGGAGCCAGAGGAGAGTTTCCTCTTACAGGTTGGGTGAGAGCAGCTGGGAGTACCCCAGATGCCAGGTCCCAGAGTGTCCTGCAGCCTCGCGCGCATCCCTTACTGCTCCAGATGTGTTCTTGAGAAGTTCATGGGGACGCAGACCCTGGTGCCTCCCAGCTCCCTGGTGTGAAACCGGAGGCAGTGCAGATTCTGCTGGGACGGAGGCTGTCCTCCCTGGGGAGCACTCCCACCTGTGCCAGGGGACAGCCGTGCCACAGTCCTACAGAGCAGCCTGAGCCAGAGGTGAACCCGGTCACCCCCTTCCTCAGCCAGCGGACTGGGCCACCTAGTGTGACAGCTCCCCAAGTCACATTAATTCTAAAGTCCGATGCCTCAGGCAAGCCCGTCTGCTGCCCAGGCTCCTGGGGAGCCCCCTTGGGGGACAGATCAGGAGCCCCAGTGGCTCACAGTTGGCCTAAAGTGGCTAGTCCTGGCCACCTGCCTTGTAGAGGGGAAGCTGCCAGGCTGACTGCCCACGATGGCCCCGCTCCCTGCTGCTGGGGACCAGGAGGGGTCTCCTCCCCCATATTCAGAATAACTTTCTGTAGAACAGGTTCTCAGAATTGGAAGAGCTGGACAGAAGGCATGGGTTAACGATTCCCTGTCCTTGTCCAGGGTGGGGGCTCAGGCTCTTTCCCTCGTCGTCCTCACACTGCCCAGCTGAAGGCACACGAGCCCCTTCCTGGTTTCCTAACTCCTCCCTCCCACCCGCAGCTGCCCACCCCTCCCCACCTCTCCCCACCTCTCCCTACCTCTCCCCACCTCTCCCCACCTCTCCCCACCTCTCCCCACCTCTCCCCACCTCTCCCCACCTCTCCCCACCCCTCCCCACCCCTCCCCACCTTCTCTCCAGCTTCTCTCCACTCTGCGTCACAGAAGATTTGGATCTGGCAGGCAGGCAGGCAGGCTTGGTGGCGGCAGTGGGCACGATGGTAGCAGGGCTGTGGCCTGTGTCCAAGGTGCCGCTCCCGGGCAGCAGAGGGCCTGCCGGCGCCCAGGCTGCGGGGCTGTTGGCCTCACGGGGCTCCGCTGTCCCCTGGCTCCTGAGTGCGTCCCCCTCACTAGAGGTGGTTGTGCGGTGGGGTCTGAGCAGCCTCTGAGCCGTGAGCCATGACCCCAGCGGCAGCAGAACTCAAAGGCACCATGTCAGGTCCTGTCCGTGGTGGCCTGCCTTTTCTAATAAGTCACTCCGGTGACCAGAGTCCTGCACAGCCACAGGAGACAGCAGTGGCCGCTTTTGTGCCGCCCCTACTTCTGTGCTCAGTTTTCTCCCTCCCGCTCTCTGACGCTCTTGGTCTCTGTCCCTTCCACTCTCTGTTGGTCGGTCTCCGTCTCTGCTTGGCTTTGCCCCAGGGTCTTCGCGGGGCCCATTTCTGTGGCCAGAAGGCCCGGCTTTTCCTTTTCCTTAAGGAAGCCCTCGAGGCTGGGCTGGAGCCCCACTTCCCCCTTTCCCTTGTCTGCCCGAGCCTCCTGCCTTCCCATCCCAGGACGTGGACTGCGTGTGAGGCCTCCCCCACCCCCAAGGGCAGGGTCGTCTGTGCTGCTCTGGGCCCCCACACCTGGCTCAGACTGCACACCCAGCGGGCCCGTGGTAACAAGGGTCAACCCCGCCAGCTGACCAGTGGTGCGCAGCGCACAGCCCAGAAGTCACATGCCCGGTCCCGTACAAGCTCCTCTGTTGAGCTGGGGCTGGGTGGCAGGCGGGCCACGGAGACCGAACGTGCCCATTGCTCTGAGGGCAGAGCCAAGTCCTTGTAAGTCAGTGAGCCAGAATGCAGGGCGCTGTTCACCCAGGCAAGCCGACGGCCTGGCGACCTTCGGTCCTGTGCCATCTGCCTCCACTCCCAGGTAGGCAGTAACCTGCGCAGGTGCGCGGTGGCACACGGCATTGGGGGCAGCCAGCCCTGGGAAAGGTAGCCTGGCACCGCGCCGTGTGTGCACATGCGTGTGCCCCACTGTGTGACCTTGGCCCAGCCCGAGGCTAGCTGGAAACAGCAGCTGTGTCCTGGCTCCAGGTACTCTGCCTGGAGTGTGGCCAGCCTGGAGGAAGGGGCACAGGTGGGAGGAGGGAAAAGGGGCCTCTGCGGACAGCTGCTACCTTGGACTCCCGGCCAGCTCCAGCCGCATAAATCCCTGCGGGCCGGAGGGGAGGGACGCACACAGGCAGGCGCATGCCATGGGGCACCTGGGGCTGGTCGTCTTGGGCCTCACCTGCTGCTGGGCGGTAGTGAGCGCAGCAAAGGTAAGCGAGGGCCCAGCAGAGGGGCCCCTCTCTCCTCTCCCTAAGCGAGACCTGGAAACGGGAGAGGGCACAGTGGAGGGAAGACAGGGTCACTGGCCAGAAGAGCCAGTCTGAGAAAGAGACCCCAACAATCAAAATGGCATTTCCTGGGCACTTCATGTTTTGTGTATATTCTCATTCATATGACAGCCTGCCAGATAAAATACAGGATGCCACATTAAATCTGAATTTCATACAAATCACGAGAAGTTTTCGGTGTGTATCTTCTATGCAGTATTTGGGATATACTAAAAAAAAAAGTCAATTTATGTGAAATGCAAATGTAACTGGGAGTCCTCAATCTTTATTTGCTGAGTCTAGGAACCCAACACCCCTCTGGCTCTTTCCTCTCTAGAGATGTCGATGTCCCCTTTTCACAGAAGGGGAGACGGGCCCAGAGCAGACGAGCAATTTGCCCAAGCTCACACAGCCACCAGTGGCTGAACAGAAACCTAAAACTCCGGAGTCTGGCTCCCAGGGTAACCTCCATGTCCCAAGCAGCAGGTCCCCACCTGCTTGCTGGCCAGTCAGGAGGCTGCCCGGGGCGGGTACACCATTGCCCGGGGTGAAGAACAAGGCAGGGAAGGGGCTGCAGGATTGAAACCCCACAGACGCGTGGCCCCGTGGTGTCCACCCTCCTCCTGCTGCCTCCGTCCCAGCTGCCCTGGGGCCTGCCGCTTGGCCCCAGAGGTTCAGGTGCTGGCCTTGGGCCCCTGCTGCCCCCAGGAGGAGGTCACTCTCCGGGGGAGGGGGGCTTCTCTGAGGGCAGAGAAGACCAGGATTTCTCCCCGCTGTTCCAGCAGCCAGTGCCACCCTCCCCACCTTGCCCCTCACCCAGGGCCCTCAGGCCAGTCTCAGTTCTGAGAGGTGACTTCCCAGTCCCCAGGCACTGACCTGGCCTGCTGCCCCATCCCAGCAGCTGGGAAGCCTGTCAGAAAAGATGCCTGGAGGGGCGCCTGGGTGGCTCAGTTGGTTAAGCGACTGCCTTCGGCTCAGGTCATGATCCTGGAGTCCCTGGATTGAGTCCCACATCGGGCTCCCTGCTCAGCAAGGAGCCTGCTTCTCCCTCTGGCCCTCCCCCCGTCATGTACTCTCTCTCTCTCTCTCTCTCTCTCTCTCTCTCATTCTCGCTCTCTCAAATAAATAAATCTTAAAAAAAAAAGAAAGAAAGAAAGAAAGAAAGAAAAGATGCCTGGAGGCCTGAAACAAGGCTGCACCTCCTGAGCCGAGAGATGGGGCGGGGGTGAGGGTGGGGGAGCAGAGCTGCACCTGCCCCTGGCCCCAACCCTGAGGCCCCTGGCAGGAGTTGTTCTGTCCTCCTCCCCGGTTCCCTGTTAGCCTAGACCTTACAGGGCACTGGGACCCCAGCTGGGCCTGGGGGTGCGGAGCTGCCCTGTCCTTGGCTCCCTGGGACGGAGCACAGGTGAGATCCAGGAAGCAGACACCTGCCATGGGACCCGAAGGCTGGGGGGGCAGCCCTGGGAGGGGATGGGAGCCTGGCTCTGAGGTTAGACAGTTGTTTCCCACAGGGTGACTTCAAGCAGGAGAGCCTCAGTTCCCTTCTGGGACAATGGGAAGATGAGCACCAGCCCCCAGGACCCTCATGCAGACCGGATGCATTGGCTGCGTGGGCCCAGCTCAGGGCGAGGGCTAGCTACACAGCCGTGGTTCTGACGGCCTGGGGGGCGGGGGTCTTTCTCAGCACTGAGCACAAGGGCTGTGAGTCACCAGGCCACCGACTCCAGGCCAGCTGGACCCTGGGGGAAGGGGGACACAAGGGGAGCAAACGGGCCATCTTAGAGACGGGGAAACAGCCTCATGGTCACAGCTAGGTGGCCATAGCCGAGATCCAAACCTCTACCCCACCTCTCCTGGCCTACTTGGAAGGCTCCCTGGAGTGGGAACACACGGGTTGACCCAGCTTCCTCCAAGATTCAGGGAGCAGGACACCCTCGGGGGCCGGGACCAAGGCGGTAAGCTGCTCTTCTAGCAACGTGGCAGGTGGCAGGGCTCAGGTGCACGTTGGCCCCTCCTTGAAGCTGTCTCTGGGGAACCTCGGGGCACCCTGGGGCCTGCTCACGTTGCCCCCCAGCCCCGTTCGGGAGACCCGCCTGGGCCTTCCTGAGCCTCGGCTTCCACCCCCAGTTGGGCGCGGTGTACACGGAAGGAGGCTTCGTGGAGGGCGTCAACAAGAAGCTCAGCCTCTTTGGTGACTATGTCGACATCTTCAAGGGCATCCCCTTCGCCGCCCCCCCGAAGGCCCTGGAGAACCCTCAGAAGCACCCTGGCTGGCAAGGTGGGAGCGGGCAGGGGCTGGTGAGGCCCCGTGCCTGGGGGTGCCGTGGGGTGGCTGCCATCCTTACCGATCCCCCTGGCCGGCCGCAGGAACCCTGAAGGCCAAGGACTTCAAGAAGCGGTGTCTGCAGGCCACCATCACCCAGGACAACACCTTCGGGGAGGAGGACTGCCTCTACCTCAATATCTGGGTCCCCCAGGGCAAGAAGGAAGGTGGGTTCACCCTCCCCACACCCTGCAGCACGCCCCCAAGCAGCTAGAGACTCAGGCCCTGCCCTTGTGTCGGGGGGGCTCCAGAGCCAAACTTCCGTGAAATCAGCACAGGGTGCGGAGGGAAGCCGGGGTGGTGGTGGTGGGGTGCATCTGGGGTCACTGGGTCTGCTCTGCTCTGCCTTAGTCTCCCGGAACCTGCCCGTCATGATCTGGATCTACGGAGGCGGCTTCCTCATGGGGGCGGGCCACGGGGCCAACTTTCTCAGCAACTACCTGTACGACGGGGAGGAGATTGCCACACGGGGCAATGTCATTGTGGTCACCTTCAACTACCGTGTCGGCCCCCTGGGCTTCCTCAGCACTGGGGACGCCAACCTGCCAGGTCCGCCGGGTGTCCTGGGCACTGGGGAGGGGAGGAAGTGCGCCCACCCCTGTGAGCTCTGGGCTCGGCGGGGGTGAGCCTTAGCTCCCATCGTGCTTGAACAGCTCCTGCCAGTGCCCCTGGAAAGGTCCAGAATCCTATTTGCAGAGCCAGGGAGCTGGAGATGCGCTGTGAGATGCAGGAGCCCCTTGGCAGCTGTAGCGAAAGAACAGAGGCCCACAGACTGACAGACAGAGTGGGACCCAGAGGCCCAGCGGAGCAGGTGCAGGGAGCCAGTGAGAGAGAAGATGAGAAATTAAGGCAGCAACAAGGAGCCACAGACAGACAAGGGGGGCTGTGGCAGGGAGGGAGAGAAAAGAGCAGACTGGTCCTCCTGCTCCCCGCCCCCGCCCCCAGCCTGAGCCCCCCACCTGCCCCAGCACCCCACCCGGCCAGCCTCCAGGGGACCCACCATTCAACATCCTGGTGCTCAGCCGGGGTCTCCGTGCAGTCGAGGGCATTCTCATCCCACCCATGTGCATTGTTCACCCTGTGTGGCCCAGGCCCTGGCCCTGATGAAGGCCCATCCCCCACCCTGCCCCCAGGTAACTATGGCCTTCGGGATCAGCACATGGCCATCGCTTGGGTGAAGAGGAACATTGCAGCCTTTGGGGGGGACCCCGACAACATCACTATCTTTGGGGAGTCAGCTGGAGGCGCCAGCGTTTCTCTGCAGGTCTGGCGGCCCCGGAGGGTGGACCTGCCCGGAAGTGTGTGGGAGCTAGCCAATGGGAGCAGGGAGGAGAGGGGCTGGAACTGATGTGTGGGGTGTCCTTGGCCGAGCCCAGGGTGGGCAGGTGCGGCGAGGCCTTGGTGACAGGACCTCTGTGTGTTGCAGACCCTCTCTCCCTACAACAAGGGCCTCATCCGGCGAGCCATTAGCCAGAGTGGTGTGGCAGTGTGCCCCTGGGCCATCCAGAAGCAGCCCCTCTTCTGGGCCAAAAGGGTAAGGAGGAGCTGTGGTGGGCAGGGGAGGGGCCTCCCTCTTTTCCAGTCTGTCCTGGACTCCATCACCCTCTGCCCAGAGCACTGGCCTCACCCACCTGCCTACCCACCCCCACTCCAGATCGCTGAGAAGGTGGGCTGCCCCTTGGACGATACCTCCAGGATGGCCAAGTGTCTGAAGATTACCGACCCCCGTGCCCTGACGCTGGCCTATAAGCTGCCCCTGGCAGGCAGGGAGTGTGAGTGGAGGCTGCTGGGGGAGCCTGGGGGGGCTCCCGGTCGGGAGAGGGCCGGCCATGCTCCTGGAGAAGAGAGGAATTGCCGGGTCTGAGGCTGGCCCTGTCCCCAGATCGCTGGTGTCCCTAGGCAGCTTGCTGCCATGAGCACCCTTGTAGTCTGGTAAGGAGGAGGGCCGTTCTCTCTTCTTATCCCCCGTGGGTCACGACCCCTTGGAGAAGCTGATGAACATGTGGGCTCCAGCCCCCGACAAGACACGCATCTGTGGTCATTTGTGCACAATTTTAGGGAGGTTCATGGACCCAAGACCGAGAGCCTTTGTCCTAGACGGTCATTTGTTCTTCTTGCCACTCACGCAGTGAACACTCACCCACTGAGCACCCACGGCAGCACGCGGCCCTCCCGGCTCTGCTCCTGTGTACCCCGGAATGCCGGGGACCTCATCAGCGCAGTAGGCTGGGGTCCGCTCTTGCCAACTTTTTGATGCTAAGTCAGAGGCCCCATCATTTGCATCTTTACCTGATGCGCATGAAACCATAAGCAAAGCGGAAGCCAAGCGAACACGTGGCCCCAAATGCAAACCAGTTGTTTCCTCCGGCGCGCACGGGAAGGAAGACCCGCCGGGCTGAGCCTCTCGAAGGCCACTGCCTCCACCTGCCCGGAGCCAGCTCTACGGTCCTTTCGGGGCCAGTTCAGGGGTCTGCAGGGCAATGTGGACCTCACAGTTTCTGGCGAACACGCTGGAGCCCAGCCCCGAGAGGGGGTGCCTCCTTCTCCGTCGGTCCTCGTCTTCCTCCCAGAGGCTGGAGGGAGGACAGCCCTGGGCTCCGGGGGACCAGTGCTCCTCGGCCTGGGAAGTTTGGCTCCAGGGCACATGTTTTGATTGTCATAACTGCAGAGGGGGTGCCGCAGGTGTCCTAAGGGCAGAGGGATGCGGATGGACACCCCACAGGGTGCTGGACATAGAATTATCCCGCCCTCGATGTGGGTGGTGCTGAGGCCCGGGAAGCCGGGTCTAGATCAGAGGAGGCTGGAGGTGGCGCTGGAGTTGAGTCCTGCCCCAGAGGCTGAGGGGAGGAGCAGTGGGTACCAGGAGAGTCCGAGCCGGCTACTCTCCCACCCAGATCCCGTACTGCACTATCTGGGCTTTATCCCTGTCGTCGACGGAGACTTCATCCCCGATGACCCTGTCAAGCTGTACGCCAACATGACCGACGTTGACTACATAGCAGGCATCAACAATATGGATGGCCACATCTTTGCCAGCATCGACATGCCAGCCATCAATAAGAACAAGCAGGAGGTCACCAAGTAAGCAGTGGGTGCGGGGCCCAGGGGACAGTGCCCAGGGGCAGCTGCGGGAGGTCAGCACCGTGTTGGGGGGCCGTCCCTTGCCCTTTGCTGGTGGGGTTGCAGATACCCTCCCACTGGCACTGGGTGGAGGGTCCAGCGCTGGCGTGGTCCCTGCAGAGAGGACTTCTACAAGCTGGTCAGCGGGCTCACCATCACCAAGGGGCCCAGGGGTGCCAACGCCACCTTTGACATCTACACTGAGCCCTGGGCCCACGACACGTCCCAAGAGACCAAGAAGAAGACCGTGGTGGACTTTGAGACCGACATCCTCTTCCTGGTGCCCACCGAGTTTGCCGTGGCCCAGCACAGAGCCAATGCCAAGTGAGGACCTGGGCAGGGAGGCTCCCTGGGGAGACCCACCCACCTGGGATGGTGGACCTGCGCCCTGAGGCCTCTTGGGAGGGTGGCTCGGGTCCCCACCTGGGCCTGCACCACCTGCTTTGTCCAGGCCTGACAAGACCTAACCCTCCTCACCTCCCAGCCTCAGGGGGCTTTGCAAAACCCTCCCACGGTCCTCTGCCTGGCCTGGCACTGAGTGCCTTCCCTCACCCCACGGTCCTTCCCACTGAAAAGTTCTTGAGTTGACCTTCCACCCCTCAAGCTGTGTAGAAGAAAGAACCCTGGATGATGATGGTCTCTGTTGTGGGTTTCAACTTGACCAACTTTCAAAATAACTTAAGCCTGGGACCACATTAAAAACCACTATATGATAATAGCCAATGAAATTAAAAAAAAGTGAGGAATGCTTGGAAAGTAGGAAGACAGTATTATACCTAAAATCTAGAACGAAAGCTTTGCAGCAACTAAGCAATAAATGTGGCTCTGAGCTTCCTGTCAGTCAAGGCAAAAAGAGAAACACCCGAGGGCGTATACCTGTCCAATTAAATTAAGATACAAATTCACTTGCAGAGCAAAAAAGATCTTTCTTGATACTGAATTGCAAGAGGAAGCTGCCTCAGTGTGTTTTGGAGTGGTGAATTATAAACACAACTGAAATTGTAGAAGCTTCGAATCCGTGGCTTTGGCCCACGGCTTTCCCTTTCCCAGGTGTCAGGATCCCAGCTTCTTCATGAGTCTTGCGGGAATTCCCCAGACCCTTCCCTGCTCCCTCCACGGCTCCCTCCGGAGCCCATCCCTGAGCTGGGTGGCCCCAGGTGAGCACCTTGCCAACTTGGGTGGTCTCCCCTCCCTTCCTCAGGAGTGCCAAAACCTACACCTACATGTTCTCCCACCCGTCTCGGATGCCCACCTACCCCAAATGGGTGGGGGCTGACCACGCGGATGACATCCAGTACGTCTTTGGGAAGCCCTTCGCCAGCCCCCTGGGCTACCGGACCCAAGACAGGACGGTCTCTAAGGCCATGATCGCCTACTGGACCAACTTTGCCAGAACTGGGTAAGACAGCAGTGAGGCTGAGCCCAGAGCCCCCTGCCACCTGGTCCTGCAGGCCTGGGTTCTAGTCCCTGCTCCCTCACTTACAATTGGCCTCCCGGAGCCTCGGTACCTCTGTCTGGGAGGATGGGGCTACTGCCCAGGCCCCGAGATCAGCACCTCTTGGGGTTCCATGTGCCCAGCCAGGGCCCAGGCACCATATAGTGAGGGTACCCTGATGGTAAGGGTCAGTGCAGAGGGTGGAGGACTGTCCAGGCACGCCAGGGCCCAGATGGGCTAGGGACACAGGTCTCCAGCCTCCTGTGAGCCCCCAGCCCGCACCCAGCTTTTTTCCTCCCTGCAGGGACCCCAACATGGGACATTCAGCTGTGCCCACACACTGGGATCCCTACACAGTGGAAAGTGGTAACTACCTGGAGATCACCAAGAAGATGGATCGCAACTCCATGAAACAGCACCTGAGGACTAATTACATGCGCTACTGGACCTTGACCTACCACGCACTGCCCACAGTGACCGGAAATGGGGCCGCCCCCGCCCCCCCCTCCGGGGACTCGGATGCCGCCCCCGCCCCTCCCTCCGGGGACTCGGATGCAACCCCCGTGCCCCCCTCGGGGGACTCTGATGCAACCCCCGTGCCCCCCTCGGGGGACTCTGATGCAACCCCCGCGCCCCCCTCGGGGGATTCTGATGCAACCCCCGTGCCCCCCTCGGAGGACTCTGAGGGGGCTCGGATGCCCATAGTCATCGGCTTCTAATGTCCTCGACTCCAAGAAGCCATAGGGTGAGACCCGAGGGATCCACCTCCCCTCCAGAGCTCTTCCTGAATAAAGCCTCATCTCTCTCTGTCTGGCGTCTTCCTTTGCTCCCGAGGCCCCAGCTGGAGGAAGCAGGGCTCTCAGCTCTGTTGCAGCCCCAGGCGCTGGGCCGACTGCCTTTCCCCATGGTGTCCATCAGTCCTCAAGCTCCAGGAAGTCTGGAGAACGCCCCCTCATTCTAGAGAGGAGGAAATAGGTTTGAAGAAGTGAAGTGTCAGAGCAGGACTGGGCTTCAGGTGCCGGTCCCTCCGCCCTGGGCTGCTGGTTCCCAGGGGGCAGGGCAGGCGGTGGCCACAGGTGAGAGAGGAGCTGGGCTCTGCGGGCTGTGGCCTCCCCTAGACCAGTGGAGCCCAGCCGCACCAAGTCCTCTGGGGTGTGGGCAGCGACCTCTGTGTTCTAACTGGGGTCTGGGCACCTGGCCTGGGAGGAGAAATGGACTCAGCTTCGAGCTGGATGCGTGTTGAAGAGAGAACAGAGCATCACACTGGAAGGTGAGAAGCACAAGGTGCAGGAGGGCTGGGCATTGGGTGGCTCTGGCAGAGTTGAGGGGCTGGAGGCGGAGGTCAGAGTCAGGGCCATTCCCACATCTGGGAGTCTGGGCATCGGACACCATGCCGAGTGCTTAGGCAGCTTGAGGTCACCATGGCCACAGCGGGTGGGCACTGAGAGGGGGGTCACATGCCCCAGGTCATGAAACTCCAAAGCTAGTGCTCGAAACGATGCTGGGGGGCGGGGGCGTCTTCCCCACCCCTCACTCATTCTTTCGTCTCAGTGGGGCGGTGCTGAGGGCTCCAAGGAGAGAAGGTTCTGGAGTCCTGCGCGGCTCTGCCTGGTGGGGGCGGGGCTGGGGACAGCAGCGCCCAGGAGGCAGCCAGCACGCTTTCCCTCTCTGGCCACAGATGGAAGACTGAGGTCTGGGGAGCCGAGTCCTACAGCCCCACGCAGCAGAGCTACACGGGGCAAACCCGTCCCCCCAAGAAGCAGGGTGCGCTCGGGTTGGCCTGTGACCACGGTGGCTACCCTGGGTTTCCTGGTTTGGTCAAAGGCTCTCGGGTGTGAAGAGAGGGCTCCTTGTCACAGACTGCGGGGATGGACCCTCGTGGCAGTGTGGGCCTCTCCCGGTGACTGTCCCTGCTCTTGGCCAGTGGAAGCACAAGGATGCAACAGTGCGTCCCTCCTCTGCCACGTTAGTACGCATACGACTTCTCTAAGTGTTTCTGTCTGCTCTCAGGAGGCACGGCGGGAGAAACCTCTCGGACCCCAGTGCCTTCGACCGGCCCTGGGATTGGGCACTTCTAGCCCTTGTTGGGGGAAAACACAGTCGTGCCTGCCTGTCATTCAGAAAATCGCATCCCTGGAGGGCTTGGCCACGTCAGAATGGCTGGGGCATCGGGATCCAGGTGTGTGCCCAGCCCCCGGGCTGCTCGGAGAAGGTCTCTCTGGCGGAGGCCAGCCTTGCTGTATGTCTGGGGGACACCTGCTGCTGTTGAGTCATCCCACAATTCATCGGGCTTTTGCCTTTATAGCCTGTAGCCAGAGGCTGAAGTTGAAAATACAGCTGATCCCTGAACAACATGGGGGTTAGGGGTGCCAAACCTCCACACAGTCAAAAATCCATAACTTTGGGCCCCCCAAAACTTAGCATCTAACAGCCTTACTGTTGACCAGAAGCCTTATCGATAGCATACATGATTAACACGTATTTTGTGTATGTATTATAAATTATCTTCCTACAATAAGTAAGCAAGAGAAAAGAAAATGTTAAGAAACTCCTAAGGGAGAGAAAATACATTTACAGTCCTGGACCGTAGGGAGAAAAACCCGTGTGAAGGGGGCCCACACAGTTCAAACCGGTGTTGTTCGCTCAAGGGTCAACTCTAATTACGGAGGGGCTGACTGGTAGCTGTCCAGGGTCCTGGAGACGCCCCGCTGGACCAGGAGTTAACCCTTTATGTTAACCTTCAATGGTGAAGCCCAAGGAGGACACTTGGGGAAGCTGAGGACATCACCTGTTTACCACCCTGGTGACACGCCTATTTCCTTGGTGAGGCTGTGCCCTTGGGTGGGCAGTCTTGGGATTCCTGCCCCTCCTTCCCATGCCTCATCTTTCAACCCACCTTGCAGGAAAGGTTCGAACCACCCACCTCCTCCATGACATAACCAAATCACAGACCTGGACAAAGAACACAGCCATCCCAGGGGGCTGCAAGCTCTAAGGGCTCTGGCCTAGCTTTTAGGACAAGTCGGTACCAACAGGACTGAGGCCATAAGCTGGTGATTGCCCGATGCAGTGGACTTCAGAACCACATGGTCCAGGAATTCATCTTGGCCAGTGAAGGGGGAGTGGGGTGGTCTTTCATGGGCAGGACCCAGCACCCGTATCCTCACAAACCAGCATTCAGCAGGGATTCGTCTGACCCCAGCCAGGATGAGTGGCCCCCATGTGTCTGGCCGAGAGAAGTGGGCAGGGTGGGGGCTTCTGGTGTGTTTCTGGGCAAAATCAATTATATATGGAGTTGCAGGGAGGCTGGAAATCCTCGTTCATAGGTAGCAGAAATGCTTATGGAATAAGGCTCAGCTGAAGCCTTAAGGCTGCTTTACAGATCTTTCCCCTGAATTCAAAGCAAGCAGGAGAAGAAGGTTTAAGGACAATGGTGAGGTTGCCAGGAGGATTCCAGTCCAGGTAAAGAGCGGACCATGGGCTCCTGGAGAGAACTGAGGATGCCAAGTCCTGCCCGGCCATAGTCCAGTGGCTAATAACCTCCCCCTGGACTTTTCCCACCCACGTTGCACGTTTTGATCTGTTTACAATCCCACCCCCACCACTAAATGCTGATGGAAATCAAATTTAACCCTGAAACCTGTAAGTTCCTAATGGGTGGTCAACAGAAACCCCAATAAAACAAGCAGAAAATCTTCCCTCTTCTTCCAAAGCCGTAGAAAGGCAGCCACCATACTGGGTCAGGAAATGCAAATGTTATTGTTTAAAAACCAGCATAAAATATATACAACATAAAATATGCCAATTTAACCACTTCTAAGGTACGATTCAGTGACATTGGTGCCATTCACACTGTTGTGCAAACATCACCATATCAAGTTCCAAAACTTTTTCATCACCCCCAACAGAAACTTTGTACCCATTAATCAATAACACCCCAGTCTCCCTTCTCCTGTCCCCCACCTGGTCATCTCTTCTACTTTCTGTCCCCGATCAGTTTCCCTGTTCTAGATATTTCTAGATATACCTCAAGTGGGATCACAGTGTTTTCAAGGTCCGTTCATGTTGTGGCATGTATCAGAACTCCATCCCTTTCGACGGCTGGATCATATTCCGGTGTGTGTCTCTGTCACACAGTTATTCATAGCACTTCCTTACAATCCTTTTTGTCGCTGTGCAGTTGGTAGTAATGTTCCCACTTTCATTGCAGATTTTAGTATCTCTTTTTTTTCCCTTGGTCAGTGTCGCTAAAAGATTTGTCAGCTTTGGTTGTTCTTTTTCTAGCTCTTTCAAGTGTATCGTTAGGTTACTGATTTGAAATTTCTCTTCTTCTGTAATGTCTGCATTGGCAGCTAGAAATTCTGCTGTTAGCACTGCTTCTACTATGTCCCATAACTTACGGCACATTGTGTTTTTGTTTCCACTTGTCTCAAGGCATTTTCTGACATCCCTTGTGATTCCTTCTTTGACCCATGGGTTGCTTGATTTCCACATAATTCTGAGTATTACTGTGTTCCTTCCGCTGTTGCCTTCTGCTACTACTCCACCTGACTGGAAAAGATACTTCATATGATTTCATCCTTTAAAATTTATCAGGACTTGTTTTGTGGCCTCACAGATGGTGTGTCCTGGAGGATGTTCCATGTGCACTTGAGAAGCACGTGTGCCCTGCTGCTGTTGGGAAGCGTTCTGTGTCTGTCTGCTAGGTCTCACAGAGTGTGGTTCAAATCCTCTGTCCATAGTCATCTTCCTGTCACCTAAATTCTTCTAGCCATTATTGGAAGTGAGGTAGTCAAGTCTCCGACTCACTTCAAAGATGTCAATTTTTGCTTTAGGGATGGAGGTTTACAATTGTTATTTTTTCCTGATGAATGGAAATTTTTATTGGTGTTACTGACCTTGTCTCGTTACCTTTTTGACTTAAAATCAATTTTGTCAGATAATAATATAGCCACCCAGCTGTTTACTGTTTTTGTGGAATATCTTTCCCCACCCTTTTACTTTTAAACTTTTTGTAGATTTCTTTCAAAGTGAGTCTCTTTGAATACAACATATTGGTGGAGTGGTTTTTTTTAACCCATTTTGCCAAACTCTGCCTTTTATGTGGAGAGTTTAACCCATTTATATTTAATTACTGATGACTTCCTTCTTCTATTAGCTATTTGTTTTCTGTATGTCCTATATGCTTTTTGTTCAATTCCTCCATTACTGTTTTTTATGGATTTAGCTGATTATTTTTATATAAAGTGCACCCTTTTTGAGTCCCTTCTTCCCTTTTGTATCTATTTCTAAAAAAAGATTTTCTTATTGGTTACCTTTGGGATTGCAATTAATGTCTTAAATTGAGAGCAACCTAGTTTGAAATACCAACTTCATTCAGTGGTATACACTCAGCTCTTATAAATTCCCAACCCCACTTTTTGTTGTTACTGTCACAGATTATATCTTTATGTATTCTGTTCCCATTAAGACAGATTTACACTGTTTTATAAATGTGCTTTATACATTATACAGAAAAAAAGAAGGCTTTACAAACCTAAAGTGAAATGCTACAGGCTTTTATAATGATCTGTTACTTACCTCTACTAGTGCTCTTTATTTTTCATATGGTTTTGAGTTACTGTCTAGTGTTTTTTCATTCAGCCTGAAGGGTTAGCTTGTAGGGTTTCTTTTAGGCAGGTCTACTGATAACAAAATCCTTTAACTTCCTTTATCTGGGAATGTCCTCATTTCCCTTCACCCTGAACAGATAGTTTGCTGGATATAGATTTCCTTTTCCTTTCAGTACTTTAAATATAGATAGGTCATCCACTGCCTTCTGGCTGCCATGGTTTCTTTTGATCTTATTGAGGACCCCTTGTACATGACCATTTCTTTCTTGCTGCTTTCAAGATTTTCTCTTAGTCTTTCAACAATTTGATTACATATATCATATCTCGGTGTGGATCTCCTTGAGTTTATCTTGCTTAGAGTCCACTGAGCTTCTTGATGTGTAGATTTATGTCTTTCATCAAATCTGGGAAATATTTAGCCATCATTATTTCAAATAATCTCTCTGCTCCTCTCTTCTGGGATTCTCAGTATGTAGATGCTGTTAATATTTGATGATGTCACCAACTCCTGGAGGGGACTGTTCATTTTTCTACGTTCTTTTTTCCTTTCTGCTCTTCAGGGAGAATAATGTCAATGGCTTTATCTTCAAGTTCACCAATTCTCTCTTCTGCCTGTGCAAATCTGCCATTGAATCCCTCTGGTGAGTTTTTTCATTTCAATTGTTGTATTTTCAGGACCAAAGTTTCTATGTGGTTCCTTTCATAATTTCTCTTTATTACGTTTCCTGTTTGTTCTTACATTGTTCTCTTGTGTTCCTTTAGGCATTTTTTGCTGTCTGTGGTTTCCTTTAGCTCACTGAGCATATTTAAGACAGTCAACTTAATGTCTTTGATTAGTAACTTCAACGCCTGGACTTTCTCAGGGAGTTTGTCAAATTCTTTTTTCCGACATACCAGCACTGTTTTCCTATTTCTCTGTATGATTTGTAATTTGTTAGGAACTGGATGTTGAGGATGACAATGTAGTAACTCTGGAAACCAGATTCTCCCCCTCCTCTGGGCTTACTTCCGTCATTTGAGAACTGCAGTCTTGTTTCTATAGTGACTTTTCCAAACTATATTGTTCTGCATATTCCTTGTTGTTCAGGGACAGAAGCTTCTGTCCTGCTGCCTTGGTCAGGTTGAGGCCTGGCAGGGATCCCCTTAACTGCTGAAGTCCCACAGCTCTGTTTGTCATCAAGCACTTCCCTGGCTGTTGTGTTGGATGAGGTTCCAGAGTCCCCAGATGGTTCATTCTGATCATTTTCTCCCCCTAGCCTAATGGTCTCCATGGAGAGACTGACCCTGGAGCTTCTTATTCCATAATTTTCCCTCACCAATGTTTTTATTTTTAAAACATTTTATTTATGAGAGAGAGAGAGCACGGGCAGTGGGGAGGGGCAGAGGGAGAGGGACCCCCACTGACCAGGACCCTGAGATCATGACCTGAGCCAAAGGCAGATGCTTAACTGACTGAGCCACCCAGGTACCCCACAAATGTTATTTTTATTTTTTATTTTTTTATTTTTTTTTTTGTTTTATTTATTTATTCATGAAAGTCAGAGAGAGAGAGAGGCAGAGGCAGAGGGAGAAGCAGGCTCTCTGCCTAGCAGGGAGCCTGATGCGGGACTCGATCCCAGGACCCTGGGATCATGACCTGAGCCAAAGGCAGACGCTTAACCATCTGAGCCACCCAGGCGCCCACAAATGTTATTTTTAAAGACCCAAGTTTCAGGGCTTGCTGCTATGCCCTGTGAAAGCATCTCCAACCTCAAATCCCAGGGGTGCTGGGGGGCTGAGCCAGCTCAGTGCCCAGTTAAATGACACTGAGGCAAGCATCTGCTCTGTGAAAGATAGGCTTGCATGTTTCCTTAAGTGAGCCAGAGAAGGGTGGCCAGCTCTTCTCACTTCTCCTGTGTACAAATAAACCGGTAACAATGCAAGATTTCCTATTTGAACCTGGAAAGTGAGAATCTGCATCTCATTTAAATAGCACAGGAAGTGAAAGAACCAAACCACAACTCTCAAGCTATAGTAGAAACTGGATTTTAATATAATATTCAAGTCTAGCATTTGCTATTTACAACAAATAAATATTGCCCCTCCCCAACTGGTAAACTTTTTTTGTTTTGTTTTTGCCTTTTATACAAATATTCAACACCCCTCCCCTTTCCCCCAATTCTCCTTTCCCACTAATCCCCATCTCGTGTGGTCTCGTGAAGCCCAGGGCGCAGTGGTGAATGGTACTTGCAGTGTCATGAGATTCAGTGGCTAAGGGGCTCCGCTGAGACCGTCCTCACTCACCGGGTGAAGAGTGTGATCTGTGAAAAGGGTCCCCCTCCTCCTCTCCTGGGGGGGGGGGGGGTTGGGCGGGGGAGGGGTGAGACTCCCTCGCTCTGTTGGCCCTGATGGTGGAATCTTTGGTGCAGCCTGGGAAAGGCTAGCATGGTGGAAAGAGGGCCCAGGACCCGAGAAGGGCACAGGCCGATGCCCGTGGGCATGAGGAGAGAAGTGCAGTGGTCAGACCCAGTGGATGAGTGGGTGCCCATGGGCACAGGTGGCAGTGACCCACACCTGAGCAGGCATGAGGGAAGTGCACAGAGGGCAGTGCCCAGCGGCATGCAGGGCTCCATGCCCATTGGCAGCGCTCCTTGGCAGAAGTCAGCTAGTCCTCTGGTTCCAGAGAGTGGAAGGCACCTAAGGCAGCGAGTGGTCCACGGGAGGCCAGGTCAGCCTAGCAAACAGTAGGCGTCAATCCCGGCAGTAGGAGAGGTTTAGGGTGAAACTGGAGTCTGGGGGTGGCCTGAGCTGGCAGGTCAGGCAAACGGTGCCCGCCTGGCCTGGGCCACTGGAGTCTCTAAGTGCTTGGTTATCCCGCCAGCCAGCCCCTGACAGACCGGTTCTGTGGCCGGCCAGTGCTAGGGACTAATCAGAAGATGCCCTTAGCAATCTTGAGTCCCTTCTGCTTCATGCGAGGAAGAGTTGAGCTGGTGCCATGCCTGACCTTTGCCCCTTTTGTAAAGGTCCGTTTCTTTAGGACAAAGTCATAGTTGGCAGTTGAGTTCATGGCGTAGAACACGTTGGCATTGTCAGGGATCTTCAGCTCTGGTGGGAGAGGGGCGGAGAGAGGGTCAGCGATGCTTACAGGGGCCTCCCAGAACACCCACCACTTGAGGGCCCCCCTAGGGCAGGCCTGAGCCGAAGACCTGAGACCCCCAATCCAACCTCAGGAATACCGATGACCCCTCTGAATGACACCTGCCGAGGAGACCGCTGGGCGCTCAGGAAATCCAATGACCCTTGTTTAAAGAGACTCTGACTCCAGAGATCCCCACCTCAGTCCGGAGTTGGCAAAGGGCCATCCATCCCTCTCTTGCTGCCTTCACTGACCATGATCTCAAGCTGGAAGAAGCTTTCTAGACTCCAGAACACTTCCCTTAAGTCCTGCCCTACTCAGGACCAAGGTTGGGGGCCTAGCAAAGGGCAGGCCTTGCCCCAGGGCTTCTGTGCCAGGTTCCAGGGGGGAATCCATGCCCCCCCTGGGTGGCTCCTCCTCTCCCCCATCTGCTGTGGACAGGAGCCTGCTACAGTCTAGACCCACTGAGCTTCCTGCCCCTGCCTCACCTTCCCTACCCTGCCCTCAGCCTCAGTCCTCCTGTCCTGTAAGACGGGGGTTGCACCTGCCCTGTCTCCCCACCCCCCCCCCCAACAAAACGGTGCAAGAAGGTGAGAGAGAGAGCTCAGGAAACAACTTCTGGGGATGCTGGTGGTCACCATGAATTGTCTGGGTTAACGCCTGGCAGCTCATGGGAAGGAACAGAGCCCCACGTCCCTAGATGTATGTATGGATTAGCCCTTAGTTCCTTATCTCCCTTGTGGGGATGAGGAATTGGCAGACGACGAGGTAAGGGCCGTGCCCGAGCTTTCCAACCCTGCTTTCCGGCTCCTAGAGAACGCCAGCTCTGGGTTCTGTCGCTTTCCCAGCTCCCACGCACCGAGCTGGGCCCCTCATAGCCTGTGCTTAGTGTCTGCAATGGTCTGAATGTTCGTGTCCCCCAAAATTCGTGTGGGAATCCGCATGCCCAAAGTGATGGGGCCTTGGGCCGTGATAAGGCTGTGGGAGTGGAGCCTCAGCCACTTTATAAAAGAAGCCCCTCGCCCCTTCCACCACATGAGGGCACAAGGAGAAGGCAGCTGTCTGCCACCTGGAGGGGGGCCCTCACGGGAACCTGACCGAGCCAGCACCCTCATCATGCACTTGCGGCCTCCAGAACTGTGAGCGATAAATCTGAGTCGTCTATCAGCCCCCCAGCCCGCAGTGGCGTGTTCACGGCAGCCCCAGCTGACGAAGACGTCACATGTGCGTGGATTTTAACATATTTGAGGCTCAGGTCCACGCAGGCACGATTCTTTCTGAAGCACACATTTCCCATCTCAGCTAGGGTGCCCCTGTGAACGGCCCCTCGGCTGGGCCATCTGGCTGCCTGGCCCTAGAAGAATAGCCTTTCCCTTCACTCCTTGGTGCTGCTAGCTTTGACCTAGGTCTCCCACAGCCTGTTCACACGCAGCCAAGGGCATGCACATGCCAGGGGCCAGTGAGGAGGCCGCCCCAGGGCCGGGCAGCATCTGCGCAAGGCCGCCCACCCCCACCGCCCCAGCCCTGTGTTTTGGGAACGCAGGCCCTGGGCCTGGGGCTGGGGTGTGGCTCTGCTTCCCCACAGCCCGCCCACCTGGTCCCTGACTTACTTCGATCGTCTGAAATAACCTGCACTAGCTCATAGTCATCTGGCTCATCCTCATCCAGGTTGTGTTTGTCCATGGCCTTGCGGATTACGGCTGGAGCCTTATCTTGGCTGGTTACCTAGATCGGGGAAGGGGCAGACCATCAGGGCGAGGGGCCTGGAGAAGCCCCCTCTCCCCCCGGAGCGCAGCCCCAGAGACCCTTGGAGTTGCTTCACACTGCACACAAAAGCTCAGCTTCTGGCTGGGTGCTGGGCCTGGGTGCTGGGTCTATGTGGGGCCTCTCCACCTCGTCCTGCCCTGGGAGCCCTCCATGCAGTGATGGGGGGCTTTTCCCAATTGTTCCTGCCCCCCCAATTCTCCTACAAGCCTGCCATCTCCTCCCATGCCACCTCGGAAACCTGCCCGCTCCTGGGGGCTGCTCCCCTTGATCCTACCCCTGCAGGACAATGGGATCAGTGAACCCAGGGAAGAGACAGCGTCTAGTCCCAGCCTTGGAGGGAAGAGAGGAGCTGGCCAGACGCCCAGGGGCCGCCTCTGTGCCAGGCCTGCATTGGCTGGGGGCTGCAGTGGTGGTCAGCACAGGCCGACCCCTCTTGCCTCAACCCCAGAGGCCACAATGCAGACAGGCCCTGGACATGGGATCATACAGGTGACTGTTAATGACAGTCAAGCTAGTTCCTGGTGGGAAGGACGCTCAGCACAGGGCAGTATGTCACGGGGCACCAGACCCAGTGAGAGCAGATGGGGGGCCTTCGGGGAGTACAAATGGCTCCTCTGCAGCGTGAGTTCTGGAACGGGAGTCCCCCCCAGCCCCCCGGACACACAGTGTCTGGAGACAAATCCCCTTGGCTTGATCTCACCCTGAACGACATCCATGGTCTGACACTGCTGGCCGCCTCCACGGCCCCCCGCCTGGTGTGGTCACTGCCCCCTCACCGGCTTCCCTGCGCCTCCTGGCCCCAGCCCCGCCCCGTGGGGAAGTCACCGCTGCCCGCCCTCTGCTCCAACCACTGGCAGCTTCTGTCTTCCTCCGAGGAGATCCAGAACGAGACTCTGAGCCCCTGATCTCAGGCCTCTTGTTGCTCCTCCAACTGCCGGGCCTCCCCGCCTCCCTGGCCTCCCCTCAGGCGCCTCCTCTGTGAAGCCCTCCCTGGCCTTCGGTCTGCAGGGAAGCTTCTCAATTGTACCCGCTGACCGTCTGTCCCTCCCGACCCCCTGGCAGGTTAGCCCGAGGACAGCGGGCACGGGACGGCGGCTCACCAGGATGCTCTTGTACATGTTGCCGTTGTCCACGTCCAGGCTGACGCGGACGATGCAGCGGTCGCCCACCTGCTGGTTGTACAGCGGCCGCGAGCAGCTGTAGCTGCAGACCCCAGAGACGGAGCGCTTGTGGGTGCGTGTGGCGGCCACGGGCGTGGTGGAGGCTGAGGAGGAGGAGGTGCTGCTGGAGGCCGAGCTGATGCCGGAGGTCTCCGGGGACGACTGGGAGGTCGACTCCCAGAACTGCGGGGATGGCACGATCATCAGGAGCCCTGGACCCTGCAGGGCGCCCAGGCCAGTGCCCGGCACCGGGGTGGGGGGGGGGGGTCCGAGGAGTTCTGTGTACGAGCTTGGGCTTCCTGGCCACTTGGGGGGGGGGGGGACTGGGGACCTGGGCCCGGGGAAGGGCCATTGGGGAGAAGGGGTGTGGCAGTCACCTTTTTTTCCTGACCGTCGGGGGACTCCGGGACAAAGCTCATGTTGATCTCCTCCACGTCGGAGCTGGACGAGCCGGCTGAGTGGACGCTGAGGGCGTCGGCGATGTCCCCGCTGCTGAGGTAGGGGCCGCACCTGAGCTGGTCACAGGACTTGGAGTGGGAGCTGCCGCTCGTACTGAGCTCCGTGCTGGGGACCTGGCGGCTGCATGGAAGGATCAGCTCATCTGGGGGGCCTCCCCGGGGACACATCCCACTCCTGCCCCCTCCACTCCACATTCCAGGCTCTGTGCCAAGTGCGCGGTCGATCACCAGTCCCACATTTGTCCCTGCTTCGGGAGCGATCGATTTAGGATCACCCTATTTCACAGAGACACACCCAGCCCGAGGCTTCCCGAAGCCGGGAGGGAGCCCATCCTGCAAGCCCGGGCACTCACTCGCTCCAGCGCTTGACAATGGCCGTGTTCTTCTTGGCCTTGAGGGTGTTGCTGGCCGACTCGGAGGGGGGCTCCAGCTCACACGATAGGTTGTAGCTACAGGACAGAGGTGCTGTGAGGCTAAGGGGGTGCACACCCAGTTTCCCTCCCGCGGTCTGCCTGGCAGCGCGGGTCCAGATGCCCAGAGTCAGTCCAGTGCTGACCAAGATCCCACAGCACAGCCCGCCCAAACTGCACCCAATTCCTGCGCAGGCACACCTCTCCGTCTCGCTGAGCCGCTCCATGGCCCGGAACCAGGCCCCAAAGTGCTCCTCGGGTGCGATGCTGTAATTGTTGCATGCTGACTGGAGCAGCTTGATCTGGGCGATCACTTCGAATTCCTGGGGCCAGAGGGAAGGGCAGGACGGTGCTGGCATGGATGGGGTGCTGGGCGTGGCCCCGGGGCCCAGGGTCTCTGGGTCCCCTCCTACTCTCTACTCCTGCCCAGGCCCACCCCTTCTCAGAGCTGGGTCCAAACAGCCCCTCCCAGGAAGTCGTCCCTGATTCTGGTCTCCTGCATCCATCCTTCAGCAGGAGAGGTCCCCCCTCCTCTGTGTATCCGACTCTCCCCATGAATGTAACGGGAAGCGGGATGCAGCCAAGAGGTCTATCCGGATGGCTGATTTCCACACCCCCCGCCAACACGTACGGACTGCAGTGGCTCACCTTCCTCCTCTTCTCGAAGTTGATCAGTCTCCCCTGGAAGGCAAACGGCCAGCCACCATCAGATAGTGTCCCCCTGCCCATGACCGCCCCTCAGGCCCTCTCAGGCTGCACTCCCAACAGCACACACCAGGGGGCAGGTGGGCGCACGCACCCGGGCTTTGGGTGGGTCCTAGGATCTGGGAGCGCTGGGCAGGGGTGGGGGGCTGGCAGAGCCTCAAGGAACTTCTTGCCCAACCCTCTGGGGACAGAAGGAGAGCCTGAGGCCTGGGGCAGGAAGGCCCAGCCTGGCCACCCCGCACCTGACCTTGGAGGGCCGGCCCCTCTCTGCCCATGGTCACTGCCTGAGGGAGGGGTGCGTGCCGCTGGGCCAAAGCCTCCCGCAGCTCTAGGCCTCACCAGCTGGGCACCTAGCTCTTTACTCCCTTGTGAGATGGGCAGGTGCCCTGGCCTCAGGGCTCAGTGAGGGGCGTCTTCCTCCGGGGCTCCAGGACCCCAGCCTCGCTCCCACCCCGGCCGGGTCCCCGGGGCTCACTCACATACAGATAGTCTTTCATGGCGGTGTCCAGCATCACCAGGTCTGTGAGGAATGTGCCCAGGTAGGGAACGGTGCCCTGGATGACACCCTGTGGCATGGGGGTGGGGCTGATGAGCCAGAACCAAGGCTCCCCTCAGCCTCAGCCTCCACCCCAGCCTCCCGCTCAGAGCAGCTCGGGGACCTTCAGCTGTCTCTCCCAGACTCCCTCCTAGCGGCCACGGACTCCAAACTCCCCCAGTCACCTTCCAGGCCCGGTATTTGGTAAATCACCGAAGTTCTGTGGTTCCTGGACCCTCCCCACCCCTAAACCCACCCCGAGCCTGGCTCTCCCAGGCCCTTGCTCTGGTGGCTGTAACCAGCACCGTCACGACAGCAGCTGGTCAGGGCGTCCCTGCCCAGGCCCAGAGGAGCTCAGGTCTATGTGGCAGGTCAGGTACTGCAGCAGGGAGGGTGGGGAAGGGCTGGGGGCGACCCCCCCTGTGCTCACTGGGAGGCCTGTCCCCTGCCTCTCCCAGGCCTCGCGCACACTCACCGTCTCCTTTGGCCGCTTCTGAGCTCTCTTGGGGTTCATCTCCAGGGTGGCAAACTTGGAAGTCCCCTCCTGCCAGCGTTGAAGACAGGGTCAGTGAGACCTTCCTCTCCTCCCCAGCTTCCCCTCCAGCAGACCTGACCTTGGGCCTTGGTCACCAGTACAAACGCTCCAGGGCTCCCTGGGCGTGGGAATGGGGGCCAACAGCCTGGCCTCCCTGAGCCTGTTTCCTCGTCTGGGAAGTGCAGGTGAGCACGCCACCTGCCTCCTAGGGGTCTCCAGGGACTCAACATCCCATGCCTGTTCCTGTCACCCTCGCACACTCCGGGGTGGGGGCTCTGCACAAAACTCACGCACATTCCCTTTCTCCCTGCACCTCGCTGCCTCCCCATGCGTCATGAGCCCAGAGGGACCCTAGGCTCATCATTCCTCCATTTTCTGAGAGGGGCAGTGACTTGCCCGAGGTCCCAGAAGGACTCAGAGGAGAGTGGGCTCCTCCCTCCCGGCTGGAGACCTGTTCCCGCTAACTGGTGGTCTGGCGAATGTGAGGCCCCGTGGCGAGAGCCCAACAAGACTGCCTGGGATCCATTTGTGGCGTCTGGCCCCGGGCACAGCGAGGAACCCCCCAGTGCACCCAGAGCCGCCTCCTGGGTCTGCTCATTTGGACCCAAGGCTGGGCAGCCCCTTTGGGATGTGGCCTCTGGCTCCCCCTGCAGTACCCCGTCCCTAGGCAGGCAGGGGGCTCTCCCCTGGAGCTGCAGTGCAGACAGAAGGAGCCCCGCACCCCTGGCCCCATCCACCCACCAGCCTGGAGGAGGCAGGAGACCTGCTAATCCTGCCAGCTCACCCACCCCATCTGGAACGCCCCAGCTGCTCCCACACCATCTCATTACCAGGGCCTCCTGTTCCCCAAACTGCCCCCCACCGGCCATGGACCAAAAAGATCCCACTCTCCCCAGAGTCCAGACAAGATGGGACTGGAATTTTTCAAAGAAACTCACTGAGAACCTCCCTCCTCTGTCCCGGCTTTACCTTGATGAGCAGCTCTCTGCTCAGTGAATAGTTGTTCTCATCTGAGAAGATCTCCGACAGCTTCTGAAAGATTCGGAAGCTGTCCCTGCGGGAAGGACGGACAGACTTGGGAATGGCACACACGGATGTGCGTGCTAATCCATTTTATTTTAGAGCCCAAGACCCTGAGCTGCCCGGATGGGTGGTTTTCACACAGGGTCCTGCTGGGCCCTCAGCGTTCTGCGGTTCCCAGGGGAGCTCTGTGTGGGTGGCTGCCCAGTAAACACAGGAAAATCTCCAGGGTGGCTCAATCTAGTAGCTGACAGATAGGGAAACTGAGTCCTAAGGCAGCACTGCTGGCCTAAGGCCAATGGACCCTCGGAGGCCCCGCCAGCAGGCCTGACCCAGGATTCGCTGCCTCCTGGAAGGTCCCGGGTCCCCCCCTGGAGCTCCTGCCAAGAGAGGCCGGCCCACCTGGAAACTTCCTCCCACGTCTTCTTCAGCCGGTGAATGGAGTTACTCTGCAGGGCTGACAGGATAGCATAGAGTGACGAGAAGTTCTTGAGGACGCGGCACTCCTGGGGGAGGAACAGAAGGGCTGAGGTGTGGCTGCAGTCCCCGTGGCTGGGACCTCGCGTCCTGGGGGAGACGGCTGCCTGTGGAGCCTGGGTAAGCAGCACTCGCGAGAGGAGGATCTGAGCTCAACCCACAGGAGGAAGTTCCGGGGGAGTGAGCATCCGGGCAGCAGGATGCCAGGTTCCCCTGGGAAGAAGGAAGGGCCTGCGGTCTCTGCGGGGCCTAGAACCACAAATCACCACCCCGAGGGCAGATGAAGTGAGACAGGGGTTCCCCAGGGCCCCTCAGAGGCGTACCCTGGCCACCTCGATCCAGTGCTCCACCACCCTGGCCCTGTCCCGGGCCGTCACACTCCGGTCCCCCAGGCAGGTGGTGATGACGCAGTTGGCCACGCTGTTGAACTGGGTGACGGTGGCACGGACGGTGGGAGCCAGGTGCTCCTTGCCCTTCTTGTCCCGCTGGGACCAGATGCAGCCCAGGCAGTGGTAGGGCACCACCTTCTTGAACAGCTCCTGGGGGTCGGGGGAGCGTCACTGGCTCTGCCACACCCCAGCTCAGCATCCACGGTCCCCTAGTCCCAGGCAGGGTCCCTGGCCAGAGCTGAGCTCAGGAAGCTAAGGCCGTGGCTTGAGCCTCGCAGGGCTGGGGTGTGTGTGCGACTCTGGGCTTTGTTCTCTGCCTCCCGTGCGTGCCCGGCGCATGAGTGACCCGGGACGACACAACGCAGCAAAGAGAGTGGCATTTCAGCAGCGCATCCTCACCAACTCCCAGCGCCAGAAGGAGGCTCCCAGCTGTGCCTACCAGGCAACACTTCCAGCTCCCCCATCGGGCCTCAGGTCTGCCCCATCCAGATGCACACTGCCCCCATCCAGATGTGGGTGCAACAGCTATGGGCTCTGCTGCCTGCCATAAGCTTTAGCACATAGCAGGTACCTAATAAGTGCTGAGGCTGGTGAGGCCTCCTGGCAGGCTGGGGGGCCGACCCGTGGAGCTGGATGTACCTCAGGAAGCTCCACTCCCCCAGGCCCCACCCAGCCTTCAACTGTCCCGCCTCATGTAATCCACAGTCGCTGTGCAGAGGATTGGGGTGGGGAGGGTCCCATCTCTACGTCCACAGTCCGGAGAGCCCACAGTGAGTCCTGGTGGAACTGGGATATGGACCAGGACATCAGCTCTGGACCGGGGAACGGCAGGGAAGGGACCAGAGGCCAGACGAAGGTGCACCCCTGCCCCGCCCTGCTGGGGACAGTGCTCACCGCATCCATCAGGGTAAACTGCTCTGCCACCAGGTCGGGAGGGAAGGCCAAGAGGTGAGGCTTCTCATTCAGGTCATTTTCTGCAGCCACAGGTGAAGGCCAGGGAGGCCCAGGTGCTGGAGCTGGTTCTGGAGCCGTGTCTGGCTCTGGAGCTGGTTCTGGAGCCGCGTCTGGCTCTGGAGCTGGTTCTGGAGCCGCGTCTGGCTCTGGAGTGGGCAGGAGAGTTGCTGCTAAAGCTGGCTCTAGTTCTGGAGCTGTTTTTAGAACTGGTGCTGGAGCTGGAGCAGGTGACAAAGCTATAGGAGGAGAGAAGGTTTCATGTGCCTTTGAAGAGACAGAGCCCAGCCCAGGGCCTCTCAGAGAAGCCACAGCCAGGAAGGAGCCCTCCCCGGGGCGTCTCCCCGACCGCAGTCCACCCGCTGGGCGCTCTGAGCCCAGTCGTTGCTCCAGGCCCCACACCAGGCTCTGGGGGCTCCTCCCTGTGGGGCCAGCCCCGACCCTTCCCCACACACCCACAGGCACCCACCTCCGGTCTTCTCACCCTCGGGCTCAGCCTCCGTGGGCTCTGCGAGCTCCAGCTGGGCCAGCAGAAGGTGGGCACGGCGCTCCAGGTCGGAACCGGGCATGTTGAGCTGCACATAGGCCACCAGCTGCTTGAGGCAGGGAAAATCTGGGGGCTGACAGAAGTCCTCCGAGTACTGGTCCAGCCAGGTGCCCAGAATGGAGGAGATGGCCCTGGAAGCAGGCGGGCAGGAAGCAAAGTCAGTGGCCTGGCCTGCCCTTCCACACGGCCCCCTGGGGCAGCCCTGGGGTTGCTCCATCCAGAGGCCAGGCCCCCCCAGCCCACCCGGCACCAGCCATCCAGGCAGGGGCAGGTGTGGCCAGCAGGTGCGGGGGGCCGGCAGTCTCCACGGGAGGGAGCCCTCCATCACTGGGGTGAGCACCCCTGCCTTCCTCAGGGGAGCCTGCCCCACTCCTCTGTCTGTCTGGGGTCCCTCCTGCTGCACCGGAAACTCCAGGAGGGTGGGGAGGGGGTGCAGTGTCTGCTCTGTCCCGGCCCTGGGGCACACAGAGGAGCTGCAGAAGTCTGTGAGGGAGGAGGGAACGGGCAGTGTCCCTCGGCCCAGCCGCCTGGGCTCTCTCGGCCCCTCGGCCCCCAGCCCCTGCTCCGACGGCTGCCTGACTCCCTCGCAGGCACGTGGGGTCTCTTCACCGACACTCTTCTCGGGGACGGCTGCCCAGCCTGTCCAGGCCCCACATGCAGCTGGCCCGGGGGACCCAGTGTGAGGGCCCTGTGTGAGCTGGTGGCCCCCGGATCGGGTCAGGGCAGGCGGGGCCCCCAGAGTCCCCTCTGCTCCCTAGGCCCCGGGCCCGCAGCCTCAGCTATCTGACTCCTGTCCTCCTGCAGGAGAGGCCCCCACCCCGCCGCCCTCCAGCAGCCATGACAGACACGGGGGAGCCAGGGCTCTGCCCAGCACCCCCAGCCCCACCAAAGCCCCAGATGTCCCCCACCTCGGAGACAGGGGACCCTCCCATCAGACTCAAAGTCCACTCACTTTTTTAACTGGTCCTGGGGTCCACCGTCCTCATCAGAGTAAGGGAGGATGCATCCGTATCTAGAGGAGGCCGTGAGGGCGTCACGTCTACCGTACCTGCTATGATGTCTAGGGTTACCGGCGGACTCCCCGACTAGAACGGAAGCCCAGGAGGGCAGGGAGATTTGTCTGCCCTGTTCCCTGAGTTATGCAAAACGTCTAGAAGGGGCTTCACGTCAGAGAGGGGAAGTGCCACGCCCGAGACACACAGCCTGGAGGTGAGCAGGGAGCCACTGGGCAGGATAGGGGCCCTGCTCACCTTTTGAACAGCAGGTCCAGGACCTGCTGGGTGGTGGTGAAGGCTCGGTAGGTGCACAGGAAGATGGTGACGTAGGAGAGATCGCTGCCCTGGAAGGCAGGCACCAGGTGCTCCACCAGCTTCTCCAGCGTGCCTGCCTTCACCGTCCGCACCTTGCAGGTCTCATACAGGTTCAGGGCGGCCTCGTTTTCACACTAGGGTGGGATGAAGGAGGGGTGCGTGGTCAGCGGCGGCATGCTGCGCCGCCAGAAGGGCAGGGGACTGGGGCTCAGATGAAGTCCCAAGTGCGCAGTGACGTGTGGCTGCAGAGGAGACACGTGTGTCCCCAGCCGAGAAACCAACTCAGCTTTAGAAGCGGAATTTGTGATGGGGAGTGACGAAAAATGCAGACACAACCCTTCCGGGTCAGTGTGTTGGCTGGAAGAGGAAGAGCATTACCCCCAGGCACCCTGGCAAAACGTGCCCATTCTAGAGACGAGAAGACAGAGGTTCCTTCTGGGCAGGGAAGAGCCACGGGTGTTCCGTGCATCACCGGGGAAACGGCTACAGCAAGGAATGGAGCCCAGGCCCATGGCACTGAAGAGCTGAATCACTGTGACAGCCGTGACAACCGGCCTCCCTTCTGGAATGTTATGTAGCCGAGTCAGGCCCGACCTCTGACCCGGAGGGGTCACGTGGCTGTGCTCCAGGGGACAGCAAATTGTAGAGGAGCCTGAGCCTCCCCCGCCTTTGGGGAGAAACTAGCCCTTCCAGGCGTGGGGACGTGGAAGGCTTGCAGGTGTGGAAGGAGGGGCTGCGGGCTACCTGAGACGGGGGTGCGGGGTGGGGGGCAGGAGCTAAAACCAGACAGACTGGGGCAAAATACAAAATCACCTGGGGCCCAATATGAAGTGGAGACAGTAGAAAAGTGTCTTTGTTGATGTTTAAGCAGATATGTGCACAATGACTTTTTTTTTTTTAAGACAGAGAGAGTGCATGCACGTGCACAGGAGGGGCCGAGGGAGAGGGAGAGGGAGAATCTTAAGCAGGCTCCACACACAGTGCAGGGCCGATGCAGGGCTGGATCTCACGACCCTGAGATCGTGACCTGAGCCCAAATCAAGAGTCGGACGCTCCCAGACTGAGTGTCCCAGGCACCGCTGTGCAGAGTGACCTTGCTCCTGGCCAAGCCTCTGACGCAGCGGGGAGGGCGTGGAGGCCCAGGTTCCTTTGGGAGCAGGACTGTGGGGCCCTTACGCAGGAAGGCCATGGGAGGGAGCCCAACAGAGCGGCCAGAGAGTCTGGAACCCAGGGCCTTCTCAGGGTCCTGGGGGTGGAGGCCCCGCGGCTGCACTCACCCCAAGCCAGCGCTGGCCCTTGTTGGTGCCGTGGTGCGCCTGTACCTTTCGCAGGGAGATGGAGTAGATGACCCCGTTGACCAGCTCCTCACCAATCTCCTGCGTGCAGCTCTGCGGAGACAGTGCCCGGCCACCGGGCGGGGGTGTCAGGGGCTGCCCCCACGAGCCTTCTGGTCCCCAGGCCAGGATGAAATGGGCCGACAGCTCGAGGGCTCGGGAGTCATGCCGGGGCAGGTGGTCGCTGCCCCCAGACCTCCCCTTCCCACCCCATCAGCCACCAGCTAGGTATGAACAAGACCAGCCCTCCAGGCTCCCGAAGCCCCCAGCAACCTGCTCACGCCCAGGCGGGATCACTTCCCCTGCCCCAAGAGGGGTATTGTTTTTCGGTCATGTCTCAGATGAGTATGCGGAGGCTGAGGGAAGGGCGCCACCGTGGGTAAATGGCAGCCCCAGGAACCCCAAGGCCCTCCTCATCTCTCCCCAGCCCTTCCTGCCCCCACCCCAGCTGACCCAGCAGGCATGGGTAGCTCCTCCTGGCCCAGCCCTGGGGTCAGCATCACAGGTCGGGGGCAGATGTAGGGCATCCCCGGCAGCCACATCTGAGGCCACTTCCTTCCCTTTCTGCTCATTCATGCCCTTGTGCCTTCTTGGGCAACAGAGGAGCTCCCGGTTCCCTGTCTGGCATCCCATGCATGGGGACAGGGTGCAAACGGTGACTGTGCAGACATCTGGGCAGACTGGGGTTTCACAGGGGACAGGAAGGGCGATCGTCTGGCTGCTGCCTGGACCCGGAGCAGAAAGGAAAGGCCCTTGTTTTAGGCGGCAGCGACCCCTCCCACTGGGCAGGCTGGCCCTGGCTGGCGAAGGCCACTTAGCCACATCGGCTCCGGCTTCAGCCTGTCCAGGGAAGGGGGAGCCTGCAGTGGGGCGGGGGCCTCTGAGGGCTTAGGGAGGAGCTGGGAGGTGCCAGCTGGCCCAGGACCATCAATCAACGGTCCACAACAGCGGCCGGGACCGCGGGTCACTGCCCTAACCCAAGGTGGGTGTGGAGCTTACGGAAGACCCAGGCAAAAGTGCTGACTTGGCACACCCACAGCCTTCCCTGAAGCCCTCGGCCTTAGCCGGGCCTCTGCTGCACCCCCGAAGTCAGCGACAGGGTGCCGGGGCCTCTCACCTCCTCCCACCCCTGTGCGCCGCGGGAGGCCAGCTGCCCTCTGGAAGGCCACTTCCTTTGACCTGTGGCCGCCCTCCCACGCTGCGCACTGCACCAAGGGGGAAGCCGCTGCCATCATTCTCTCCAGAGAGAGAGCCAGCCTGTTTCTGGGGAGTTAGCAGGGAACCCACAGGCACAGGTCCCCCTGGGCGGCACCTCCCACACCCACACCCCTCCAATGACCCAGGCCTGCGGAGGTCCAGCCCCTCTACCGAGCTGGGGAGACTCCTCCTGAAGCCGAAAAGCTGAGACATATGCTCACTTTCCCTCCCCCGCCTGGAAGAGCCCTCAGAGGAGACAGGCTGCAGACGGGGGCCCCACCACCCTGCCATGTCCTCAGGAGTCCCAGGCTATTTCCCGCAGAGGCCGAGCCTGGGCTGGAAGGGCCCGGCCTTCTCCAGGGCTATTTTAGCCACGTGTGGCCCAGGGGAGGAACACCCGGGTTGCGGGCAGTGATCTGGAGGCCCCGCGCAGGACCGGCCCCGCCCCGCCAGAGGGCCCCGCACTTGAACTCCACACAGCACCTGGCTCCCAGTGGGGCTCCGTCAAGGCCTCTCGGCCAGGCTGGCCATGGCGGGGCGGGGGGGGGGGGGCTGCGGGCAGGCAGTGGCCAGCCCCTGGCAGGTCCAGAGAGCAGTCCCCCCCTTCCCACAGAGAGCTGTGGGCCTTGCCGGCAGAGCAGCTGGCCTGCGCATCACATGGTCCCCAAGCCCCGCCCCCACCCCCCAGGGGCCCCCTTCTGCCAGCCGGTGGGGGGACGGGGCGGGGGGGGGGGGCGCGGGGCGGGAGGCCAGGAGCCACACAGGCTGGGACTGGGGTGGGGGTGGGGGAGTCACCGCCCTGTCACACAGATGGGGAGCTGCTCTGGCTCATTCACGCCACCGCCCGCTGCGGCAGGAACAAAAGCAGACCCTCAGAGCTGAGTGCACGTGCCCTGTAAACCACCTTCCAAGACCACCTTCCAAGAGATGGCAGAGGGGCAGGCTCTAAAGCAATCTGCCCTGGGTCCGGGGCAGAAAGTGCCAGAGTGGGATTTGTTTCCTGCTCCTATCCCCTTCCAGGGACAGAGAAGGAAAGCAGCCAATGGCCTAGCATCTGCCCCCCAGGACCCTCTGCGGAAGGACGGGCAGAGCGGAGCGCACACAGGCCCACGTGGGTGGTGCTCTGGCAAGGGGCCGGGGTGGGGGTGGGGGTGGGTGGGTGGGGGGGCTCCTGGGGGAGGATGGGAGTGGCCTACCAAACAGCAGATGTCCTGGGAGGGGGGGACTCTGCAGGGCAGGGTGGTGCTCGGCTGACTTCTAGGGAACAGGACGCCACAGGGATGGCTGTATCCTTGGGGGGCCAACGTCCCCAGGGCCCTGGGACCCAGTGGGCAGCTGGGCCTTGCACACGCTGCCTGGCCTCCTGCGGCTTGGGTCAGGGGAGTGAGGGTGGACTGGTGCCCCCCCAGGCCCTGGTAAGCAGAGGCCTGCACAACGGGCACCTCTGTGCCCCACACCCTGCTGTCCCTCTGAGTGCAGCCCAGAGCCCCAGGGACAAGAAGGAGAAACGGCTTGGGTGTCACCTGATCAGCCTTCTCAGGGTGACAGCCCAGCAGGATGCCTGTCCCCAAGTGACTGCAGGCAAGGCCCCGTTCCCTCAAGGGAGACTAATGGGGTCGCCAGGGCCCATCCCATCCCCTATTCTGGGATAGACCCAAGGGGCCCTGCTGGCTTTTCCCCAGCCCCGCCATCTCTCCGGGAAGGCAGCTCATGCTGGAGATGCACCTTCATTCTCATCACTCCTCTGCTCCCCTTGGGTGTATATTTCCCGTGGAAGCTACAACGAGGGGCCGTAAGGGGCCTCCAGACCCCCAGGGGCCTCCTCCACAGACTGGCTCCTCCTATGGAGACCTGGTCCAGGACTGAGGCACACAGAGAAGAAGGGCTCGGGCTTGCACTCTTCGGGTCACGTGTGGAGAACCAGTCCCACTCGGGCAGGGTGGGGGTGGCTCCGACCACAGTGCATGCGCATCCATGAGATGGGGTCCTTACTGTACCTTGCTGAGCCTGCCACCCAGGGCCATGAGTCACAGACGCCACCCCAGGCCCTCACCTGGACATTGGTCAGCACCCTGCAGCCCTGGGCACATGAGGCCCCTCCCCAGGGCCCACCAGACCCCAGGACACCGTCTTTCCTGAAGGGCTCTGACTTCCAGCTTTGCCAAGCCTCTGTGCCCCTGGCCTCAGTGAGCTCATCCGTGAAATGGGGAGAAGAGCAGCAGCTCTCTCCGGGGCAACAATGGGGGTCCGGAGAAGGCACCCAGCACGTGGCATGTGAGAGGGCCCCGGAAACGGGAACAAAGCTGGCACCACCTGCCGACCCCAGCCCCCAGGAACTGCTGACAGACACCTGGGGGGAAACCCTGAGGCGCCCTGTGGGAGCCTCCAGAAGGGCCACCAAGGAGAGGGCTGGAGTCCTAAAACTGCCCGAGCCAGCCCCACAGCTTTCCGACTTCTTGGCTTTTTGCTCACATGCAGGAGCCGCAACGGGAGATGGACCAGAGGGCCTGATCAGCCCTCCTGGGATCCCAGGTTCCTGGGACAGTTTAAACGAGGCATCCGCAAACATTTGCAGAGTGGAGACCAAGGCCCGAGGCAGCAGGTCTGGGCCGAGGAAAGAACCCAGGACTTCTTGAGTCGCAAGTCCTGGTTCATCTCTTAGACCATAAGCTCCAACAAGTAGGGGAGATGAAAAAGCCTCCTGGTGTGCAGCAGGGCCCTGCCCCCACCCTCTGGTGGGTGTCCTGTACCCTGAGCCCGAGGACATAGACAGGACCAAGTGGGGACCCCAGGTCAGCCCTGGACGGGGGTGGGCCACACTCGTAGCCCCAGGCATTGCAGCCCATAGAGGGAGCCTGGGCCTGGGACGTGCCAGCTTGCCAGGGCAACCAGGGAGCTCAGTGACCCCAGACCCCCCAGTGACCCCAGGAGTTTGGGGATCAGCCTCGCCCAGCCCCCAAAGAGGCTGTCCCCAAGAACCCTCCCCACCAGCCTGAGCCCAGTTACTCATCAGCATGTAAAGAGAAGAAAAGAAGGATGCCCCAGGTGGGGTGGGGCTTAGGGACCTCCACGCTGGCCCCGCCCACCGCCTGTCCTCTTGTCCATCCAAGGCCGGCTCCTGGCTATCAGGCTAGCAGGCCACCCCACGTCAAGCCTTTCAGGGAGTGTAGCTGGTGACAGCTGAGGAGGAGGGTGGCCTGGTCCCAAAGGGGGTGCAGGGCAGGGCCAGTGGAAGGTCCAGTCCCAAGAGCCACAACCAAGCGTCCACCACCAATCACAGAGTCCGATGTCTGTGGGCACTTCCTGGGGGCCGGGCTTTTTACACACTCATCACATTTAATCCTCCCAACACCTCACTTGATGGGTGAGGGAGGAGCCAGGAAGCGGCAGCAGGGCAGGGATTTTAACCTTGGCCCACGAACCTCCCATCTAGGCCTGGCGGCCGCCTTGCTCCACTATGGCTGCCGCATGCACAGGCTCAGAGCAGAGGCCAGAGACGGGAAGGCCTTCCTCGGGTGACTCCGCTGGTTGGGGAGGGCGGGGCCAAGAGACCAGCTACGGGAACCGGGCCTGAGAATCACCATGCCACCTGTGCCGGGCGGTGGGCGGCATAACCCCAGAGCCCGGGGCACGGGCACTCCCCTGGCACCTTGTCAGAAAACGCAATCACGGCAGCCGCCACCTGTCTGGCTGGGACACTGTGCCAGGCGCTGTGGGGACTGCCTGTCAGGCTGCCGGTCCCACTCAGTCCTCACCTGAACCCTAGGGGAGGAACTGGTATCAGGTCCATTTTACAGATGAGGATAACCGAGGCTCCGGGAGTGGGCGCCGGTCTGGGGCTGCAAGGGGCCAAGCGGGCATTCCCCCGCAGCTCTCTCCCCTCTCCAGCTCTTGCCCAGTGTGTGTGACCCCGCCCTTTGGTTCAAAGGACACTATGGCTCCAGGTGTGGCTGCCGTTCCCGTTCCCCAGAGCGCAGAGGCAACACCCACACCCCAGAGCTCCCCACACGCAGGCCCTTGAGCCCCTTGCCCCTGCCCTGCTCACCAAGCAAGCTTCTAGCTAGCCTCTGCTCACTCGCAGCTGTGGGCCGGCCGCCAGGGATGCAGGACTGGGACTGCTCAAAGACCTGCTCCTCCTGCACTAGACTGCAGGTTCCAGCTCTCATGCCCTCAGAATGGGAGCGGGGAGAGCCGCTTTGCTAGAGCTGCGTGTCCAGGAACAATGCGTTTCTGAGCCCAAGAGGCTGGGAGCCCGAGCCCGGGACAGGGTGGCCACAGCATGGTGCCATGCCCTGGGAGCCGTCTGGGCAGCTGGCCAGCACCCCTGGGAGCCCGTCTTCGACTCCTGGGCACAGTGTCCTGAAAGCACCCCCACTGGCTTGCTCAGAGGCTGCCCAGGGCCAGTGCGTAATTCCTCTAACTCCTTCTATGAGCCATGAAGACGGCCTGGAAACACACGTCCAACTTCTAGGTGGAGGATCCAACCAAGCCCTGCCTGTGAGCGGCCACCCAAGGCTGAGTCCCACTGTCCCTGCTGCTCCCGGGAGACAGCTTGGCATGCTTAAATGTCTCCCACCTACACAAGGAAGGAGGGCCCAGTACCAGCCAGCCTGGCCCCCCTTCCTCTTCTCCTGGGACCCCTGAGGAGTCAAGCAAGAGGGGAACCCCAGGGTCCGTGGGGGCCCAGCAGGTGGCAGGCAGCCAGTCCCCTCCTGAACTCCACAGGCCCCGCAGCCTGGAGTGAGCTAAGAGGTCCTCCTCACAGATTACGGAGTGCAGACCGATAAAGGCCCCGCCACCCCACCCCCCCCAAGGCTATGCTTCTAAGGCCTCCAGTGTCAAAGGCAAATGAGCCCTAGGGCTTAAACTGAAGAGCAGCACGAAGTGTGATCAAGAGACCAGACAACCAGGAAGGAGAGAGGAGGCTGGGGGGAGGGGGGGTGCGGACTCTCCTATTTATTTCTACCTGAAGAACAGAGAAGCCCTCCTCATTCCATTCCACCCAGACTGTGCTCAGGCCTTGCGGTCACAGAGTCACACGGTGGGGGTCAGAATCCCGGCTCTGCCACTTACTAGCTCGGTGAGTTTGTGCAATCTAACCTCTAGTGCCTCAGGTGATTCCTTGGTTAAATGGGCAATCCTGACAGCAAAGAGACAAAAATGCATGCAAATTCCTCAGCACAGAGCCTCCCACGAAGTGCTGGCTCCTGTTGGCTAGGTTTTTAAACCTTTGGGGTCCAGCTGTGGGCTTGCTCCTTCCTAGAAGCTCTTCCCAGTGTCCTCTGGCCCAGAGCACTTTTGCCTCGCTACCCTTCACTTGACGGGGGGCTTCTGGGCTGCCTGGGCCTGGTCCTGTTCCCCTGACAGCTCCACTGCCCACCCCCCCGCCCCATGCACTTATAATTGCCTAAACAGTAAGCTCTGCCCTATCCTTCTCAGATCCTTGCAGCGGGCTCTTGCATACAGTAGGCGCCCAATAAAGAATGGCCCCCATTCAAATCCTGGCTGCACATCTTTCTTAGCTGTGCGTACATTGAGATCAGGGACTCCACTTCTCTGACCTGCCGTCTACTCTAACGTGGGGCTGACAACTACTCTGCAGGTGTGGGCGAAGGCAGCTGGAGTGAGGGCCTGGTACCTGCAGCCAGTAGGTGCTACAGACTGAAATCTCCCCCTGCCTGGCCAAGGCAGTGGCCTGCCCACAGACGAGGGCATGGGCCAGGTGACTCGCAGAAAGCACAGAACCCCTCGGGCCGAGCTGGGTCAGCAGTGACCTGGCTTAGGATCAAGATGATGAGAGGATGCCCAGATGTGCAAGGACATCTGGCAGCTCAGAGAGGGAAGGGCTGGGTTGAGGTGTGGTAAGGAAATGGGGACGAGGGTAGGGCAGGCAGAAACTGCCTGGCGGTTTCCAGAGAGGACAGGGACCCCGAGCAGGGCCGCTTTGGCTCTGGAACGCTGCAGAGACCAGGAAATCAGCTCCAGGATGGGGGGTGGGGGTGTGTTGGCAGGAGGGACAGGGACTTCCCCGCTCGGCCCATGGTAAATGGTCATTGTGTTTGGTTTCCGGCAGTGGCCTCCTCTCCTGCCAGGACCCTGGTTTTCCTGCCCTAGCCAGAAGCTTCCCCTTTGATTTCTAAATAGCGGCCATGGCCTGGATCTCAGTGCTGAGGCCGGGTGAGGGAGAGCAGCAGGGAGAGAGGGAGCTGGAGAGGGGGAGGGAAAGGGGGGAGGGGGAGATGGAGGGAAGGCAGAACCCTGGGCAGGGGTAGGGCTCAGTTCCTCTGGGATGCAGATAGACCAAGAGGGAGGAAGAGAAGCAGCAAAGGCCCGCCCCACCCAGGCCAGGAACCTGCCCGGCCCCTGTGAGCACGCAGGCCAGACCCTCCCAGCACACAAAGCCCAAGCCGCTGCCAGACATAATGAAAGTCAGATGAGTACTGGGCTGGTGTCAGGCCTCCCACCCCCACCCTCCCTGGGGGTCGCTCCAGCCGCCAAAGACTGGAGCTGTGGGTGGATGAGGGTTGGAGAACTCGCCTGGCCCTGCCACCCGCCAAGCTCAGGAGGAATCTCCCAGGCCCACAGTACCCCCACCAAGAGCTCCTGCCACGCCTCATCTCCCCCGCGCCCCCCCTCCCCCCCCCGCGCACAGGGCATGGGGACATAGAGACATCTAGGGCCTGTCTAGGCACTGGGACTACACAGAGGCACAAGATCCAGGCTGGCAATCTCCAGCAATTACAAGGTACTGTGGCCTAAAGTGATGGAAGGGGAGGGGCCACCAAGGGGGGAGGGCTTACCTAACCATCAGGGGCTCAGACTTCACCGTCAGGGCTCTGGCTTGGCTTAGATGTGCACTGTAGCCTCCGGACCCAGAGATGGCCTCTGTCCAGGCCCCATGCCCAGACAGAACGCGGCCCAACCCTGGATTCCGTCACCTCTGCCGCAGTCAGGTGCACAGTCAGATGGGAGGGGGAGGGCACCCCCCCAACCCACTGTGACCCCATGACCCACTGGGCCCCACTGCCCAGAGCACACCAGAAACGAGACCCAGCCCTCACCTAGTTATCCCCACCCCTATTTGTGACAGGCACACCCCCTTTTCTGAATCCTCTCAAATCCTTATGAATTCAGGGTGTCTGCATGTTTTCGGATCAAGCAAAAATGAGTCACCCCCTCGGCCTGAGACGTTCTTCCCTCAACCTCCCCGCCTGGACACCTAGCTGCACAGGTTGGAAGCCTGCCTGTGTGCCCTCCACCTCCCTTCTCTGGGCAGCCCTGAACATCGGATTCACGTCTGCCCGCAAGGGGTACCGCCTGGAAGGCCCCCGTGGTGCCAGCTGCTCCAGGAGGAGCTTGCCACCCTGACCAGTGACCAGCTCGCCACCGGCACTGCGAAGCCTGACGGCTGGTGCAGGCCGCGGGCAGGCGACGCACTGCGGCCCAGCCCCTGCTGTCAAAAGTTCGCAGGCGTAAACAGTGACAGCCCGCGGGACCAGGTCTACCCGGGCTGTAGGGGCGCGGGGCCGGCACAGCTCGGCTCCGTGGGGCCACGCACCGGGACGGATAGAGAGAGGGGCACGAAGTCCGGCTCTGGCCCCCAATCGCTTGGACCGTTTGGGCGGCAGCCCCCCACGCCCGCCTTGCTGCCCCCGGGCTCGGCGCGAGGAGCGCGACTTCCCTCCCCGCCCGGCTCACCCACCTCCAGGCGCGGCAGGTCGGGGTCGAGCTGCGTGAAGCTGTGCAGCACCACCGGGCAGCTGTCGGGGCCGCCCACCTCCAGGCGCACGGCGTCCCACACGCTGCGACTCCGCCGAGAGCCCGGAAACAGCGGCTCGGCGGCGCCCGCAGGCCCGGCCGCCTCGGCCCACATGCGCTGCACCATGGACGGCTCGCAGGCGCGCGGGCGGCCGGCCGGGCCGTGGGACCCGGGGCGGCGCGGGCGCGGGCGCGGGCGCGGGCGCGGGGCCGGCCCGGCGCGCGGCGGGGCGGCGGCGGCCCGCGCGGCTCGTCGCTGCCTGCGCTCTGCGCCCGCGGCCCGGCCCCGCGGAGGTCAGGCCGGGGGCGGGGCCTCGGGGCGGGGCCGGCGACGCGGGGGGCGGGGCCGCAGATGCCGCGTAGTGGGGGGGCTGTGTACGCGTGTGTGTGCGCGCGCGCGCGCCCCCGCGGGCCGGCCGGCTGGGCCCCGGAGTGCACGTGCTGTGCGTGCTGGGGGGGCCGCGGTTAGGCGCCCTGCGTGGGTGCGTGCGCGGTGCAGTGCCTGTGTTGCGTGGCTGTTGACACGTGGTCGAGTGGCCCTGGTGTCAGAACTGCCTCCCGGGGATTCCAGCTAAGCTTAGCTCCGTGGTCTCGGATAAATTGCTTACCCTCTCCGAGCCTGTTTTTTCATCGGACAGGGTCACGCCGCACCTGGCTGTGTGCTCGGCGCACGTGTGCGTGTGAAGTCCTCAGCGTTGACGTGTGCTTGGGGAGAAGCCCTACCCTTGCTTTGTGTGCACTATTACCTTCCAGCCCCACAGCCGTGCCGACGAGGAGGTAGGAGCAGAAAGGAGGTGGAGGAAGAGCTGTCAAGGAGGTTGGGGTGGGGGGGGCGCCTGGGTGGCTCAGTTGGTTAAGCGACTGCCTTCGGCTCAGGTCATGATCCTGGAGACCCGGGATCGGGTCCCGCATCGGGCTCCGGTCCCGCATCGGGCTCCCTGCTCGGCGAGGAGCCTGCTTCTCCCTCTGACCCTCCCCCCTCTCATGTACTCTCTCTCATTCTCGCTCAAATAAATAAATAAATCTTTAAAAAAAAAAAAAAAAGGAGGTTGGGGGGATGCGGGGGTAGAACACAACAGATGCCACGGGGGTCGGAGCCTTCCAGACATTCAAGAAAGTAAGGGGTCAAGAGGGACAACTGCCTGCTGGAGCACCTGTCACTTGGCTGGTCAGCTGGGGCCACTGGTGGCTTGAGTGCTCAAGATCTCAGGGCAGCGGTCAGGGTGGGAGTCAGGCTGCTGGGCTAGGGAGGCCTTGCTGCATTACCTCTAGAAGCCTGTGAGGTAGAGGGAGGCTGGATGTTAACAGCAGGGTCAAGAGGGTATTTATAGATGCATAAATGAGTGGGACCGTCTTGCACACCTAGCCCACTGCTGGGGCCTTGCCTGGCCTCTGGCCTCAGCCCTCAAAGAGCCCCAACCATTGCTGTTACAGCCCTGGCAATACTACCAACCTCCCCAGAACCACGTCTCCTACCATTGGGCCTCAGTTTCTCCACTTGTAAAATGAGAGGGCAGGACCAGACTACACATTCCATAAGCATATTGTGTGTGCCCACTGTGTGCCAAGCCTCAGATCTCCCCGCATAGTGGGTCTGCAGCAAGCCCTACCCACCGGGGGAGCTTGAGCACCATCCAGCCAGGAAGCCAAGGCCTTGACAAAGACAGGCAGAAAACCACAATCTGGCAGTTTCTATTAAGGGCATTAAAAATGCTCTTGCCCTTTGACTCGATGATCCACTCTTAGGAATTCACCCTAAGGACGCAATCAGAGGGATGGACACAGGTCTCTTCACAAGCATATTGATGGAAATGTGGATTACAACTCTGCCAAACTGAACCAACTCAAATGCCCTCTGCTAACTCACAGGACCCTTCGTGCCACCGCGGGCCGGGAGAACCACGGTGCGGGGCGTGCTCTGTGTAACCAGGAAGTAGGAAAACCAGGCTGCCCAATATGCTTTCAGACCAGACATTGCACACATGCATTTGACCAGAGGGAGCTACTTTGTAACAGTGATGGTGGTTATCTCTGACCGGTACTGTATATTTTTGTTTTTTCATTTCTAGAGTTTTCTAATTTTTCTACATTTTAATAATCCCGCACATGTAATAAATGCTGTTTGCTTTTTTTTTTTTTTTTTTAAAGCAAGATGACTAGATTTAGTTTGGAGTGAGGATTCCTAGGAGGCCGTTTGGGAAGCTTCTGGGCTCTGAGCCCAGGGAAGGCGAGTTGGGGAGGCACAGTTAGAGGAAGGAGGTCCTCATAGAGCAACAAAAGGGTGACCTGGCCACTGGCCACCGCCCTCTGGCTAGAAGCTCCTCTTCCCAATCTTTCTCCTGGGGCCATGTGCTCAGCGCCTCTGGGAATTCGGAGTGAATCCAGCACCTGCCTGCCCTCACTTATCTCTCTCTGCTCTGCTGTCTTTATCTCCTTCTCCCAGGGAGGGGCCTGGGAAGCAAGCTCAAGCCCATTTTACAGCATGGAAAAGGGCCCATGCAGGCCGGGTGACTCAAAAGGGCTGGAGGAATGCACCTGAGATCCCCACCTCTCCAACCCTGAATGTCCAGGTGCCGGGGCTGAGGGGCGCAGGTAGGCTGGAGAGGTGAGGAGTGGGGAATCCAGTGCTACCCCCCTCCCCCACCAGCACAGCTGGCTGGGCTGCCTGCACATTATCTGCAGGGAGGGGGCAGGGTGGTATAGCCTTTACTCAACTAGACCTTCTGCCTCGTTCCCCCTCCCTGCCTCGTGCACCCCCACCCCACTTTGGGGCTCCCCTCTGGGGTCCTGGCAAGCCTGCTCACCGCTCCAGCTGCATGCACACGTACGCGCGGGCACACCCCCTCCCCCCCCATCTTAGTTTCCAGACTGTTGGTGTAGCAGAGGGCAGGCTTGGACACCGAGAATCCTGGGTGTGAAAACTAGCTCCACCCTATTCTTAACTGTGTGTCCCCCTCTCCCCCAGGCAAATCACCTCACCTCCAAGCTCTCTCCTGTGTAAATGGGAGCATAACTAAGGAGACAGCACAGGTAAAGCACCTCACGCAGGGGCTGGGCGCCCCCAGGTCAAACAGGGCAGAGACTCTGGCCCACGCTGTCAGTGACCAGGGCTGCGGTTCACGGGGCACCTCCAGCTCGAAAGACCCTCTCCTGAGCCATCACGCACTTCCCTAAATAATCCTGCCCCAGAGCTGCGGGGTAGACCCCGTACCAAGGGCAGGGGCAGCCCAGAAAAGGGGACCAGGGCAGCAGGTGCCGCCTGAGGGAAGAACAAAATCACCCACGAGGCGTTCTTGCCAAAAACTAACCACGAACCCAACCAGCCTTCTGCATGTAACTACCATTTGGGGGAGTTACAGGGGAACAGAGGAACATGTTAAACACACCATGAGGATATAATCCATAAATTTCAGACCGTAGGAATCTCTACGGGACAAACCACCCAGTTTCTTCAACAAATCTGTTCCAGGGGGAAAGAATAATAAAGGGGAAGCCATAGATGAAAAGAAAGGTAAGAGACGTCACCAAATGCCACGTGGATTTTGGATGGTGATTTGAACAGGGCAACTATTTAAAAAAAAAAAATACCACGAAAAACCTAAAGGACAATTGAGATTATGTGAACACTGCTGGATATTTGACGATAATCAATACCACCTTCTGGGTGTGATCGTGGTAATGCAGTTACGATTAGAGTGACATATTAGAATTTGTATGCCTGGGATCTGCGCAAACATTGTCCGCTGCAGGGGACGCAGGACGTGGGGGCAGTGAGCAGAAATGAGAGTGTCCTCGTACACTGGGGAGTGTTACAGCTGGGATGCATTCGTGCACTTTCTCCACTCTCCTGTCTAGTTGGAATTTGCCATCATAGAAATTAAAAGAGGAAAAAGGACAGAGTTTGAGCCTCACCATCGATGTCCCTGAGGCTCCTAGCAGGCCAGCAAGGGAGGGCAACAATCTCTAGACACCTGGCTAGCTTCCCCAATTTCCATGTTCCTGACTTGCCCCATACCCAGGGGCACTCCTAGCATCCTTACAACAAAGAGGCTGGGGGCTTCACTTTGGAGGCCACGGCTGTGGGCCGCTGGGAAACTGAGCCACACAGCTCACATGGGGCTGGAGGCAGGCCAGTGACCTTGGGTGAGTGAAGACCAAGGTTATCACCCTTGCCCTTGGAGGGTCTGCTGGAAGAAACAGCATAAAGCACTGTAGAAAGTGTGGGGTTATTAGGATTGGGGCCCTCCTCTCATCCCTCATCCTGCTCACAGCTCACCCCACCCCCAGCAGTCCCAGGTTCCCAGCCTTTCCCTGGGGAGTGCACCTGCCCTTCCTCGGGGGTCACAAGAAGCCCCGAGAACAACGCTATGCCGTACAGACTGTTCTGCCACCAGGATGCTCCCTGCAGGGGAAGCTTGCAAGACAGGCTGAGAACTGACAAGTCAGGGGCTGGAAGCAGGCCACATCCAGCCCACACGTGTGTTTTGTTTGGCTTGCAAAGTATTTTTAAATTTTTGAGCCAACGGTAAAAGGTCAGCTGATTTCATATAAAAATCCACATTTCTGGCTTCTCCTGTAACTTCGGACAATCCGGCCACATGGGGTCTGTGTTTCCGAGACACAGGAGGCTGGGTGGGAGCTGACCGGCAGCTGTCTCCTTTGGGCAAGGCTCAGGCCCCGCCGGGCCTTCCATCGCTCCCTGGCTGGGAGGCCTCCTGAGCAGCCGCCTCCAGTTGAAGGAAGAGGGGTACGGAGGCCAAACCTCTGGAGCCCCTTCTCCTTCCTGCTTCCAACCCACCATTGGTCCCCCAGATGCATGGCAGCCAGAGGGGTCCTGACCCTTCAAAAGTGGCCCCACTACCTTCAGGGCAAAAGACCAACTGCTTGGAGTGGCCCCGGCTTGCCTCTGGGGGCCCTCTCTCACCACGCCCAGCGCGGCTTACACAGAACTGCTATGGTCCCTGGCGCCTCGGGCCATCCGTGTCCTGCCTGGCCCGTGCTTCCGACGTGCCGCCCACCCCTTGTCCAGGACGTGACGGGTGACTCATGTGTGTTGCTCCAGCTGTCCTTCAAATCAAGACCCAGCTCTGCTTTGGCACGGGGTCCTGGGGAATGGGGTTTGGGCCCGATGCAGCGCTGGGGAGGTCTCAGAGCCGCAACGGGGCTCAAGGCAATGTCCAGGCAACCACA